ATTTTTGGCTCTTACAACTAGGCGTTGCCAAATAAAAACCTTCGCAATATATACACAAACATACATACATACATATGTACATATAGGACTTACTAAATTGAACTAAATTTCCTAAAATCTTGCGCTGCACTAAACCCTTGACTAGTAATAAAATAAGTGTGCAAGGAAGAAATGCAATTTTGCGCTGCTTCTCATTGTGGCCACTTTGAACCAGGGTTGCCAACTTTTTAGAGAAAACAAAAACTGTTTTGACCGGAAGAAGAGTGAAAAAATTGTTTACAAAAAAACCGTAAAAGAAAGCTACATTTCTGTTTACAAAACTAAGTAGAGAAGCTAAAGTCGACTTTGAAAGACTCTGCATATATGTGTAAAATAATTATAGAAATTGAAAAAATTAAGAAAATATAAAAAAAATTTACCTTCCTTGATATTCGAACTATTATATTCGTGTCTATTCGTGTATAACTAGATATTTACATAGGAATTGTGTCTATGTCAGTGTATGGAAGTCTATGCGTGTTTATTCGTGCCTGAGTGAGCATGAATGTACAAAATTTGGTGTCTCTAGCTCCCTAGTCTATGAGATCCAAAAAAAATATATATTTTTGAAGGTTTTTTTTTATAATTTTTGTGAACATTTTAAATTATATTCTCGCATTTTGTTCAAAGGAAAAACGGAAAAAAGCTAAAAAAGCTAAAGCCAGAATTCCCGTTTACCGCAAATCCATAATTTTTGATTTGATTTTAAAATTAATTTAATTATTTATTATTTAACTAAATTAATTTAATTAATTAATTAAATTATATATAAAATATTCCATACATGCATACATACATTTAAATTTACATCAGAATCGTGTCTTTTCGTGTTGGTGTACTTGTACATATGTAGGTATGTGTGCATTGGGCCTGGTTATATGGCTATAACTTTCTTTCTGATCAACTTATAATGAAACTTGGTATACGGATATACTTGTATAATCACTAACTTAATATGACTACCAAAGTTCAAGAACTACGGGAGTTATAGAAAATGGTGAATGGGGGGGGAGTGAGCGGGTGGATCAGAAAAAATGAACAAATTCGTCCTTTCTCGGGCTCAGGAGAATCTAGATACCAAGTTTAGTTATTCTAGCTCTTATACTTTCTGAGATCCTTGCGTTCATACAGACAGACAGACGGACAGGCGGACATGGCTATATCGACTCGGCTTATCGTCCTGATCAAGAATATATATACTTTGTGGGGTCTACCAAGCCTCCTTCTGTGTGTTCCATGTACGCTCGCACAAAACTAATATACCCTTTTACCCTTTGGGTACAGGGTATAACAACTCTAAGTACCAATGTAAATCTTTTATTGTTTGGTTATTATTTGGTTGGCTAACATTTCTATTTTAAGCCTTTCTTAATTAAAAATTGTTAGCCATCGATAAACAGCAACTAATTTAAAGATGTTTTATTTTGCTCATTTCTTTGGATGAGACATGTGAATGCAAATGTTGCGTGTGTGTGATTAAGTTATGTGCGCTAGGGATGTAAGTCAAAGGGAAAACATCGATGTCTTTTATAAAAAATTGATGCATCGTAAAAAACATCGAAGCTTTGATGTTTTGAAAAAAAAAAACTTTTCATAGAAAAAGAAGCTTATATTAGGAAGATAATCAACCGAAATTTGTTAAATGAAAAATGTTTATGTATTAAAACCGGTCTCATAGCATTTTATTTAATGTTGTTAACCAATAAAGTAATCGTAATCCTGACTTTTGACGAACTTGTATGGTATACTTAAAAATAAATTATAATATACAGTTTTAAAAGCAAATCAATGCAGTTACGCATTTAAAGAATATTAAACGCAGCTATACGAATCAAAATTAAGATTAAATGCTTAACAATCTAAAACATTTATAACAAAATACACATTTTAATGAAAACATAAAAAAAAACAAGAGAGAACGCTACAGTCGAGCAAGCCCGACAGTGAAATACCCTGTACCCAGGTAAACTTCAGACACTGAGGTATATGCGCCTCTAGCAGAAGCAAAAGGAAGAAGAAGAGCGAACTTGATGCTACAGTTTGTGGGCGTAGTACCGGAGTGAAATTGTTTAGCTAATAAATTTGCTTCGAAATAACCAATTTGAAACAAAAGTAAATTCTTACGTATAAATTATGGGTGCAAAGTTTGGTTAAAAAATCTACCTAGCTTTCGAAATGTGGACGGCATTGACGAAATTCCGTAGTGGGGGAAGGATGGGGGAATTCAAAAAAATAAAATAAACTCGCCCTTTCTCGGACCTAGGAGAATCTGGATACCAACTTTGGTTGTTCTAGCTTTTATAGTTTCTGAGATCCTTGCGTTCATCCAGACGGACGGACAGACGGACGGACGGACGGACCGACATGTCTAGATCGATTTCTCTCGTCATGCGGATTCATAATATACTTTATGGGGTCGGAGATGCTTCCTTCTGCCTGTTACATACTTTGCACAAACCTAATATACCCTTTTTACCCTACGGGTACAGGGTATATATAAAACCATCGGAAAACATCAATGAATCGGGTTAAAGACGCGTTGCCTTTTCGGCAGTTTAATTGTCGTTTCATATGATCCCGAATGCTAATCAAACATATGTACTATATACATACATATGTACAGTGAAAACTCTCTTGACCGGACACTCACGGTTGGCCAATTTTAGTCCGCCCAAGGGGGGTGTCCGCTTAAGGAGATACCTAAATACTTTATACAGCGATCAAATGTTTTAGAAAAAGAGTCCGTCGAAGAGAGTGTCCGGATAAAGAGGTGTCCGTTGAGGGAGTTTTCACTGTATTCATGAATCGCGTTTTGATTTGTGCGGGCCCGCATGATGGTGTTTGTGCCGTTATTTGTGTATGTGTGTGTGTGTGTGTATGTGTGTGTGTGTTTGTGTGCGTCTGTATGTTTGAATATGTTTTTGTAATGAACCCTTGAATTGCAAATGCATTTACTGCCAATTCGATTTGATGGCCGCCGTTGGGTCGAATTTCGCACATATTTATAATATGTATGTATGTATGTACACATGTATTTGCGGGTGTGTGTGTGTGGGTTTTTGCCAAATTTCATAAATTTGCCATCGGGCTGCGCTTTAAAACGCATGCCATAACCCTACTCTCACACTCACTAATGAAGGATTCTTTACTGATTATTACACGGATGGTGTGGTTGTTTGGAAAATGAAATACAAGTATTTTGCGTTCCGTTTAATACACTTTTATTTAATTTTATGAAATACTTACCTCAGTAAAATAAATATTTGTGCAACTTGTTTTTAAAAGTTTATTAGAAACTATTGCATGTTCGATTTTTACTATTATTTTTCTTATATATGTAGGTAATAGATATTAATAATTAAGAAACCATATGTAAATATATTTAATTTTTGATTATTTGATCAATAATAAATCAAGGTAAATAACTTTTTCATAGAAAGTTGATATTTGTGCAAATGAAAAGAAATTCAAATTTTAATTATTATTGAACTTAGTGTCACATGGAAGAGGCTCAGCAGAAAACAGTTTTCATAATTTCCTTAAAGAAGTTCAAATATTTTAGTAAAATCGTAGTTGCCCAGTTAAATTATATTTTCAGTCGCATTCTTAATTTTCGTAAACATGGTCAATGTTTGTTTTCAGACATCTGACAATCGAGAAATTACCGAAAATATAGAACTTTTGGATCGCTCGCTGGTCCTTCAGGAAATGTATAACATTTTAGGTAGACCGGAGATAGAGAACACTGAGTTGGACCTAAGAGGAGTGAGCTTGGAGATTCTTCTGAAAATTCTGATCTGGACACAGTACCACATGAAGGATGAAGAACCTTCGTGGGTGAATGATCCCATCGACGTCGAGATAAACGAAATGCACTTGGGATAAGGAATTTGGGATAAGGAATTTGTGCGCGACTCAAAAAAGGTAATCCAAGGTATTATGAATGGAGCCGATTATCTGAATATTCGCTGGTTAATGAAAATTTGTGCCGATAAGTTGGCGAAGCTAAGTCCTCCAATACAGCCTGCCATACCAGCACTGGTAGCACCAGCATCGCCAACAATGACCCCGTCCGAGACCGAGCAAGACACCACCTTTAATCGCTCCTTTATCGATCTCGCGGGGGATCTTCCCCGACGGGGTGATAATAGAGAAGTCAGCAGACGTCTCCAGTGCGAAATATGCGTTACCCGGCCGAGAGGCAAATCAACCGCTATGCCGTAGATGGACCAGCTTATCCTAAAATTGGACTCCCACCTCCACCACCGATTCCACAGAGCGAAAGAGATGTAATAGAAGAAGTACCAGAAGAATGTCGGCAAGATGCCAGCTAAGATCCGTAATACGTTCAACATGGTAACATGAGTGGAAACATCTAGGAACACATCAGCATATCTAAATTATTAAGTGTAATATATGTCGTCATATTTAAATAAATGTACAAAAGTTTTGAATAGGAAACATTTTATTGAGTGAAGGAAGCTCATCAGATGACGAAAATGTAATTCCTATGAAAGTTCCGGATGGCTATCGGATCTGCCTGCTGGATATCCTTAGAGCCACTTGCTGAAGCTAAATAGTCATTTAGTGAGTTTTTGTTTTTTTTTACAGAATTATTAAGGATTTTCAAATATTTATTAATATACTTATTTATTATTGTCAGATGTGAATAATCTGTTGTACAGTTTAGTGATGAGTTAGTTTCGTTAAGTATTTGTAAATTATATATAAGGCAATAGAAAGGAGCAAGTTTTAAGAACATTACAAATCAATGTTGAAGAGAATTATGGGTAACTAGGTTCCACCCCGCAAGGATAAACGTTGAACCCGCAAACAAATAGGCGCGGAATTTGTTTGCCTAAGGGACGCGAATGAGTTGGCAAACACGACAAGCCAGCACAACTTCACAATGAGTGCGAGCTGTCCAGCACATAGTATAGAACAATATTAGTATAGTCTAATTATTGGTTGTGTTTTGTGGCCTGCTTTTGGTCCCAACGCGCCCAGCCTCGCTCCGCCAGGAAGCCCAAGCCAGCAAACAGATTTCCACAGAGCACTACATAGAAAGCGAGCTGTAGGTCCCCGATGGTGAGTACGCGAAAGGTGCTGCCCTCGTCCGTCGACTCATGCGTTTTGCCATGCATGGCAATATCCACCTCGGTCTTCATATCATCGATCCATTTCTTGATGAGGCCCGCATTGAGCATGCGCAATAGCAGTGCATCTACGGCATCAGACCAGGGCGCATCTTTAGGCAGCACATACGAAATGGTGTAGTATTTGGGACATTCAGGAATCACCCAAACGCGGCCGCTTAGCAGGAAATGCGTGGACTCCAAAATCAACGAGGAATATCTTGAAACACCCGCCTTGCCTCCATATGTTGCCACCTGATGGATGACATCCGCATATAGATCACGATTCCACCACAGTTTCTTGTTCAGACTGGCAAAAAGGGGCGAAGTCTCGCTAAAGAACAAATCATCGGCCATGGATGTGTATTTATAGACGACCTTTAGCCCGCTTTCGTCCAGTTCCTGCAGCGTATTGATGTCCTTATAATGCATCGGATGAATGTAGACAGTTGCCAAACTGGATTCAAATATGGCACCAAAAATCACGCTGACCAGGCAAAGGGATGCAATAAAAATACGCTCCGAATAGCTGCTGGGGAATTGTGACAAATTAACCCGCACCCACACCACCCACGTGTCGACGACAATGCGCAAAGCCTGTCGCCACAATCGACGTCCCTTCGCCTTCACAATTCCCAAGTGTAGGTTCACCAGACGGAACATCATCCAGATGATGGCGCATGCAAAGGCACTCAGTATGAAGCCCGACCAAATGTCATAGCCGACAGCGAATATGGGAACTATGGACTGTGGAATGCGCATTGCCTTCGGCACATATATGCACAGCTCATCATCGTATACGGCCACCGTGAAGTCCATATACTCATCCACCATATAGTCCTTGACAAAGAAGCCGGTCAGACAAATATCCAGGCCATCGGCAATTATAGAACCAATTGCACCATTGTAGCTGCCATTCGCGGAGCGTTCGCTGAAAAGACAAACAAAGAATTTCTTAATTTAAAGGCCATAAACAGATATAAGTACATACAAGTATGTATGTATACAGTGAAAACTCCCTCAACGGACACCTCTTTTATCCGGACACTCTCTTCGACGGACTCTTTTTCTAAAACAGAGTTTTCACTGTATTTCGATTATCATCATTACGGTCATCTACTTGCATTGCCACTTCCTATAACATGCTTATTAAATACTTTTAACATTTGGGGCTAATCAATTTTCAAAATGGAACGCACCCGAAGTAATTGCGATCCGGCTGCTGTAATACCATGGTGAAATTGAGACGTTCACTCAGCAATTCTGCCACCAACGCATCTGCCCCCGTCACACGCTCGATATTGCCCGTAGCTGCATCGATCTCCGGCCGAGCATAGACCGACTTAAAGATCTGCACACGTAGCGGATAGCCACGCATATTGCGAAACAAAAGACGCTGCAGCGGCTGACTGCCCACATAGCGCACCAGGCGACCTCTTTGCTGCTCCTCCTCCGCCTCCTGCTTTAGCTCAAACTGCAAAGCTGGATCAGCAGCAGCAGCAGCAGCCTCTTCGGAGTGGAGAGCAAAGGGATCGTAGTGCCAGACCCCATCATCCGTGAGTATATAAGTGTTGTATATTTTTTGCTGCGTCCACAGCTGCCTGAAGCTTTGCTCCAGTTGCTGACGTTCCTCTACCCTTCCACGCTTTTGCTCATTCTCCTGCTCCTCCATGATGATGAAAAAAAAGACACCAGCCCGTGTAATGAATCGTCCTGCGTTCGCTCTCAATTGAGAAGCGGTCGTCGCCATCACATAATTTTCACGATTGCTCCAAGTAGCCCATGTCTGGGCATCATAGCTGTGGACGCTGTGAGGCACACGCGTGTGGTGGAGAAACCACAGCGTATAATCATTGGCTGCATCCACTTGAAAGTGTTGCCGACGCAGCAGCAACAGCAACTCCGGCACATCCCGCATTGGGGCCTCCAACAACACGTCCAATTCCGCAGCGCTAGGCGCTCCATACACTGGCAAGACTATCTGAGCGAACAAGAAAAGCAGCAACTGAGTTGGCACCACAAGGAGTCGGCAACTTGCCATGCCTGTGTCTGCGTCCCAATTGAAAACGACGCCGCCACTTGCCCACTTAACTTGTCCACTTGACTTCTTCGAAGACATGTATGTTGTTGGAATTTCGACACCTGCAATTTTCTTCAAATGGGTATGTTCGTGTGTGTGTGTGTGTGTGTGTGAGTGTTTTTGTTTGGCCAGCGGTCGCTAATTGGAGCCCTGACATAATACCGGCTCCATGCCATTGAGGGCCGCCAAGGGCTTGTGCAAACACCTACCATTCGACTCGCATGTGCTTCCCATTGTGAGAACCCATTGTGCCCCCTTCCGTGGCATGCTTTTGTCCCAGCTCCGATTTCCTTACTCTGCCATATGGAAATTTATGTCTTGGCGCAAATCGCTTTTACGATATGCGCACGTACGCGTGCCTGTATGTGTGTGTGTGTATGTGTGTGTGTGTGAGCGAGTGTAAATACACACAGTGAAAGAAAAACAAGATGGAACGCTACAGTCGAGCAAGCCCGACAGTAAAATAGCCTGTACACTCCCCAAAAAACAGTAAATTTTAAAAACATTTAATTATTTTACAAAATTAAATTAATTAATTAAATTTTAAAAGTAAAATCAATACATACATACAGAAGAGACATGTTTATGTACAGTTTCAACATTTACATCAACGTGTCTATGCGTGTTTATTGCGTGTAAACCAAAGCAGCAACAACAACAACAGCTGCGGGCAGAGTTCCGGCAGAGAATATACTTGTATTTATGGCTATAAATTTCTTCTTGGCATTCAGACTCATAATCACTAACTGGAGGTATTTGCCGAATCTGAGTACAAAATTCCGGGAGTTATGGAAAAAATACGAATTGCGGGGTAGTGGGGAGTGAATCGAAAAAAAAAACCTCAAACTCGACCGAGAAAGTGGTCTTAGAAGAACCTGGAAACCAAGTTTGGTTATTCTAGCTCTTATACTTTCCGAGATCCTTGCGTTCATACAGACGGACAGACAGACGGACATGGCTATATCGACGCGGCTTGTCACCCTGAGTAAGAATATACTTTGTATACTTTGTGGGGTCTGCCATGCCTCCTTCTGTGTGTTACATGCATTCACACACAACTAAGTAGTATACGCTTTTACCCTTTGGGTACAGTGTAAAATGATTGATTTGGAAATAGTTTGGGAGCTACGCAAATTGCTCCTTAAACTGGACAAGTAGAGTGTTGTATTGAACTATACCTGATTTCCCAAATAATTCGAAAATCAAATATTAAAAGAATTTAAGGCTTAACAGCATAAATAGTACATATGCACTATATATTCTTGATCAGCATGACGGCCGACCGTCAAAGTATTATATGTAGACTCTCCCAACCCTGGGGCAATGCAAATTCCTCCACTCTGTCCCGCGATACAGAACATTGCCCATTCTATCTACAATTCCAAAGCTACAACTAAATTGCGGACTGCATCTTGTTTTTATAGCCTGTACCCAAAGGGTGAAAGGCTATACTAGTTTTGTGCGCATGTATGTAACACACAGAAGGAGGCGTGGCAGACCCCACAAAGTATATATATTCTTGATCAGGATGAGAAGCCGAGTGGATATAGCCTTGTCCGTCCGTCCGTCTGTCTGTCCGTATGAACGCAAGGATCTCAGAAAGTATGAGAGCTAGAATAACCAAACTTGGTTTCCATATTCTCCTAAGACCGAGAAAGTACGAGTTTGAGTTTTTTTTCGATGCACCCCCCCACTCCCCCGCAATTCGTGTTTTTACTTATAACTTCCGTAATTCTCTGAATTTTGAAATCAATTTTGGTAGGTACATCCAGTTAGTACTAATGTGTCAGTGTGACAAATTTCATCATGATAGGTCAATTCTGAAGAAAGTTATAGCCATAAGTAAAATCGCTGCTCATGCGCTGCTCATGCGCTGCCTGCAGCTCTGTCGGCAGCGCTGCCCGCAGCTGTTGTTGTTGTTGCTGCTTTGGTTCAACTTTGTGCTGCATACAAACACGCATAGGTACGTGATGTAAATGTATGCTGTTAAAACTAAACATAAACATGTATTCTAATTTAATTTAATTAATTAATTCATTCATTCATTTTTTTTAATAATTTAATTTTTTTTTAATTTTTTTTTTTTTAATTTTTCTTTTTTGTGGAGTGTACAGGCTATTTTACTGTCGGGCTTGCTCGACTGTAGCGTTCTATCTTGTTTTACGTAATACGTTTTACGGATAAATCCGCAAATTCCAAACTAATATGACATATGAGGTATTAAAACTCTTGTAGGTGGTAAACGAGAGGATTCGCTATGGGAGGCGTACAGAATGTAAAAACGAATAGGTGCTAATATGTAGGTAGATATATGAATGCAATGAATGCAAATATATTTTCCGAAATAATTTTTTCCAGTGTATTAATGTGGCTGTCGCACATCATTCGTGGCCCATTTGTCTGCTTGGCCAGCGCAAATCCGCATAATACGCGACACTGATTTATATGGCTAAGGCGCGGGCGGCTCAACCAAGTCGACGCCCAGACAAGACGAGCCGACAACCAAGGCGGGATAGCGTCAAATCGGCAACTGCCCTTACTGGCGGCGGCAATGAAAAAATGAAAAGCCAATTCATTTGAAATCAACTCAAGTCAAAACCGAGCCGACCAACAAGGACAACAAACGACGACAGCAACGAGCACTGCCAAAAGCAACCGTTATATGTACTATATGTACGAACATACATATTCGAAGTGGGGTGGGTGGTGGCTCCGTTAGGGTAATGGTGAATGATGGTGATGGCGATTCTGATGATGATGCTGATGTCGGGTATGGGGGCAAGGCGGGGACAGCCAGGCATTGGATAGCAGAGGAAACGAAGCGCAAATAGTCGCGTGAAATGCGTTTTCAACAGAGATTTGCACCCCACCGTTATTTCTTGAACAGTGGTCCCTAAATATGAAAATACCTCAATCATCTAAGTGTTTAGACTTCGTTTGTTTTGAATAAAATTCAACTTAAATCGAAATTGAGCATTTTAATATATTAATATAGGAAAAGCGTTTGTTAGAAAATGCTTGCTGAATTATCTGGAAATAAATGCTATCAACCAGATGTATTTTCAGTCGATTCATCTCTAAGTGAAGACCAAAATATGTCATATTGGAAAAGATTCATAATTAGTCTGAAAGTTGTGGAATGTGGAATATACGTTATATATTGTTATTGGAAAATGATAAAACAAGCACGATTTCATCATTTTAATTAAATATACAAAAATATTTCATACATATTAATAATTCGTTCAATTATTGATAAAGATTCATCCCCAAGAGATAAGTCGGTTATTTGGTTTAGAAAGCTTCTAAAAATAAACTCCATATCGTCTCTATGAGTTTTTATTTTTAAATTTAAAGTTGTAAAGTAAATTTCACTATTTTAATTAAGTATACAAAAATATTCCATACATATTAATAATTCGTTCAATTATTGATAAAAATTCATCACCAAGAGATAAGTCGGTTATTTGGTTTAGAAAGCTTCTAAAAATAAACTCCATATCGTCTCTATGAGTTGTTATTTTTATACCCTGTACTCAAAGGGTGAAAGGGTATACTAGTTTTGTGCGAATGTATGTAACAGGCAGAAAGAGGCGTGGCAGACCCCACAAAGTATATATATATTTTTGATCAGGATGACAAGACGAGTCGATATAGCCATGTCCGTCTGTCTGTGTGTCTGTCTGTCCGTCTGTCTGTATGAGCGGAAGGATCTCAGTAAGTACAAGAGCTAGGATAACCAAAATTGGTATCAAGGTTCCTATAAGCCCTAGGCAGATCGAGTTTGTTTATTTTTTCTGATACACCCCCCACTCCCCCCTATTAACGATTTTCTATAATTCCCGTAATTCTTGGAATTTTAAACTAAAATTTGGTAGTCACATTAGGTGATTTAGTGATTATATAGCCGTATACCAAGTTTCATTATAATAGAATGATCGGAAAGAAAGTTATAGCCACATAACCAGTCCCAATGCACACATACATACATATGTACAAGTACACAAACACGCATAGATACGATTCTGATGTAAATGTATGTATGCATGTATGGAATATTTTATATTTAATTTAGTTAATTAATTTAATAAAATTAATTAATTAATTTAATTTCTTTTTTGTGGGGTGGTACAGGGTATATAAGAGTTGAGCCTGCTCGACTTTAGCATTCCTTTCTTGTTAAATTTAAATTTGATATTTTATTCATGAATGCATTCGATTGTACAATGATTTTATTTATATATTCTGGTAGTACTTGAAATTCTCGAAATGGATCAATTCAATTGAATCACACTGTGCAAATGTGAGCGTCAAAAAGTAAGCTTCTTTTTTGAGTGTGTGTGTGTGTGTTATAAGTATGTTCGTATGTGTGGCTATTTACTACGCCCCAAAACACCTCCTGGGCGCCCGTACACATCCCCCCCCTCCCCCCCTTGCCAAAAACCATCAATAAACTTTGGCACACTTTTCTTCACCGACGCGTCGTCGCATGAATGTGATTGCAAGTGTGTGTGTGTGTGTATGTGTGTGTGCGTAGTTTTCAAAATGAAAAATAAATTGGAAAATTGAAAAAGCAATTCATCGCGTTAAGGACGTGCATTGAATAGAATGCTTCGACTCTACTGCCTTATAACTGTATCTACAAACTTTACCTGGAGTATGTGCGTGTGTGTGTGTGTGCAAGTGTGTGTGTGTATGTGTGTATGCTACCATTCAATTTTATCGCTCATACACCAGGTGTGCGTTGCAGCTCATTTGTGGACGCCAAGAACTATTCGCCAGCCGAAGACGTTGATGGCGACGTTAAGGAGAATGTTGGCGAGTGCATCAAAACAATTGCTATTAAGAGCTGCTGCAGCCGTTGTCGAGCAAGCTGAGCCGCGGAGCCGCTGAGCCACTGAATCAGCCACCACCACCGGTCGAAGCTGTCCAAAATTGTGGCTCCTTTGTTTTTGGCCTCTGGGGCCATTGCTGCTGTTCGCCCACATTTATGGCATGCGATAAAATCAAATTGGCAACTTTAAGTTTTAAACGCCTGGCCATTTATTGTGACGAGGCCGTTGTGTGCACTTGGCTGACCCGAACAGGCGACACTCAGTCCGACAGTCTGACGGACAGTCAGACGATGTGCGTGTCGCAGCGCGTCCTCGGCGGGCGAACGGGGCGAAGGGGGCGTGGACCCAATTCCGTCGAATGAAAAGCAGCGCAACCAAGTGAAATGAAATCATTTGCACGTAGCATGCGAAAAATGCATTTGAAACGAGGGCTGTAACCAGTAGATGTTCTTCAAGCCCAGAAGATAAATCTGAATCGAATTTAGTCTTCCAGCGACATTCATTGGACCACTACTATATATTCAAAAATCATTAAGAAAAATCACATATAGTGTGTACTTGAATACTTTTTAAAAACCGTGCGTTCGACCAGATAGGTATAGCCATAATTTTCAAAATGGTAGAAAACCGTTCAGAGCCCATGTCGTCGTCGGTACAACGTTTTTAAAATTACAAGTATGTAATTTTTAAATTGGATTGTACAAAAACTTCATAAAACACAAAACAAAACGGGTTCTTGAAATATTTTAGTCATTATTGGAAACAGACGGCCGAGCCACAATTATTTATTTAGGAAAAAACGAGTACTATACTATAATACAAGTAAGTCAGATGAACCATCTGGTGATGTTAACTTTGATGCACTTGCTTGTTCGTGTTTTAAATTATGAAAACGCAAACGCAAAAGAAGATATTCATGAAGCCGATAAATAGACTGAATTAGTTGGAATAAAATATTTCGAGAGCTTATTTGTAGTCACATATCCTAGTGTGTCCAATATACTAAGAACTTTTAAACAAGAGTTCTAGGAAAGACGTAAAAACATCATGCAACTGAATGGGCAAGGATCTACTATAAAGAAGGATATTTTAAAGGTGGTGCTTTATCAGCTGCATTGTTATGCAAGAATGTATTGAGGCAGTTGCTTACATCAACTAATGGACTTTCTTCTTAAAATTCTCATTAAAGTAAAATCAGGTTTGTCCGAATGTTGGTACATTGGACACTATATTGGTTGACTTTAGTGGGTTAAGTGTTTTTTGAGTGTATGTATAACAAAACGAGTTCTTTTCATTGCAAAAAGGACCACAAGTGCTCAAACAAATATAAATACGAAATGATTAACAATAATTTAAGCATTATCAAATATTCTAATTCATGGTAGTATTTCAATAAATTGTGGCAAATCTCGTTATATAATCTACACAAAAACACGTGCTGACTATTTATTTGATGCACAATCCCAAAGCCTTTTGTGTTGGCTAAGAGATTTAGGGATGCAAAAATTGAAGATTTTTTATGGCAGCCCGCGTGGCTAACGAATCGCCCATCTGCCCCATGGAGCATGTCTTCAACCAGCAATTGTAACACAAATTCAATTCGTTGCCATTGTTGTATGTATGGTACTGCGTTTTAACATTTCTGCACTTAATTCCACTTCATTTCGCCGAAAACTTGGTTGCTTGCTATCTTCTGACTCACTCCCTGGTTGACTGGCAGCTATTACTTCCGTTGCATTTGCGTCTTTTGGCGCGCAAATTGTTGGAAAAACGCAATCAATGCGGATTTGTGCGACGCCGCCTAGCACCTGCAGCATCCATAGCTCCCGAACCCTTGCCACACAATTGAACTCTCGGCTGCAATGCAATGCCATACCCTACCCTACCATTCCATCCCAAGTCGTGCCATGCCGCTTCCGTTTGGGTCTCTCGTTCCCTGCCACTGAAATCAACTTTGATTTGCCTGCGTCTGTATCTGTATCCCTGATGTGTGTGTGTGGCTCCGCGGGCTTTAAATTGGATTACATGCTGCAAAATTTCACAGCTAGATGTGAATTTCAATGGCATCTAAAGAAGAAGTAACTTCCAATCTACGAGCAAACAAATTTTAGATATAAAATTCCACATCTTCCAACACTGCTTTGGCAGCGAAATAAAAGCGAAATAATTGAAAAAATAGCCCAGCAATGAGGAATAATATCAAAAACAGTTTTTAAAGAAACCACGACGACATACATAAATCTAGTTTAGTTGAAACCCCAAAATATGCATGCGATCGGCAACATTTGAGTTACGGAAGGCAATTGGTCAGATGTTCCACAAAAGAATTACAAATAATATGTACATACATAAGTATATAATGAAGCTACTACTTAGCGTAAGGAAATGAAATTTTTTTATAAATATTTTTCTATTCAACCGCTATGCCGTAGATGAATCAGCTTATCCTAACTTTGGACGCTCATCGCCACCTCCACCTCCGATTTCACAGAGGGAACGAGATGCGATAGAAGTACCAGAAGAATTGCGGCCGAGACGTCGGGAAGATGCCAACTAAGATCCGTAATACGTTCAACAGGACAACCTTATCGTTAACGCACACACAAGCATGGAAACATCTAGGAACACACACAACATATCAAAATTACTAAGTATGTACCGTAATATCTCAATAAATGTGAACTCCTTGAGAGTTTAGAATATTGCGTTTTTTTAAAGTCTAGAACGCTATTCACATGTTAAAAACAGACATAAGTACATACGAATACAATTCCAAGATGCGTTTCTGAGTTGCTGCTCTTTCAGATGGCAATTGGTATATTTCTTTCCATGATTATACCATTTTAATAATGAGCATTCCATGTTCTTGTAGCAGAAAACAATCTCCTCATCAATTTAAGCTATATACATTTATATTATATCCCCATTTTGAAAATATCATTTAAGGTGATAATTTAAAGTTAGACACATCACTGACCCTACTATATATAATATTTCTATACATATTTCTGCTACATTTCAAAGCTGCACCAACTCTAATATGAGGAAACTAATAATGAAAAGAATCATGTTTCAATTACAATTAAATAATGATAAATTTATTTCATAGATTAATTAATTTAAAAAAAAAAGTGAGGTACAACCAACAAGTTTAAGATACACAAACTGTACAAGTAAAACTAAGAAAGTGCCAAGCTGAGACTCAGGAATCTACTCCATCATCGCTGGACTCGGGATGGTCGTCGTTGTGGTCGCACCGCAGCGATCGACGCCGAAGTTCTGGCGCATGCGCTCGAGGGCCGCCCGATTGAAGCCACGGGCCAGCAGTTGAGTCTCCGCCTGCGCAATGACTCCACGTATATAGTCGAGCACATTGGCGCTCTCGGCCAGCTGATTGCAGACGAACTTGTGGCGAAAGCGGAGCTTGGCCTTTTTGATTTTATTGTTGTAGCGTGACTTGCGGCAGGATTCGGCTCGCTGGCGTTGCACATCGCGTCCATTGGCATGGGTTGTCATTGTATTTGCCATCGCCACTGGTGTGGCATTCAACATTTCCGTTGTTGTTGTTGTTGTTGTTGAACTTTCGGATTTGGATGCCGCACGCCGCTCTACCACAATGGGATTCTCGAGCAGCATTTGGTCCACATAGCGTTGCTCCTCGTCAGCATAGTGGGTCTTGAGATGCTGCAGCTCCACGGCCACCAGTTCGTCGATTTGTTCCGGCTTATTGTGGCTGTAGTTTGTGTGCGTTGTGAGGGGGAGACTCGGGCGCTGATATTGGTGTGCCATTATCGGTGCAGATCTAAGATTCACGTCGCCTATCTGAGCATAGAATTTGTGCAGAAAAAGATTCTGTTCCATCTTCGGATTAATGTCGATCAACAATCTTTTCTCTATCGCCACTGATGTGCACACGTCGAGCTGTGCAGAGCGTATGTTTGGCCCTCGCCCAAGCGGCGCAGCTTATATAGCCGACGCACCACCGAACTCAACCACTTTCGAGCCACACTGACCTCCCCCGCCTGACCTGTGCTGCAAACCCTTGTTTATGAATTGAACTTGTCACATTTGCAACGGTTTTACGACTGTGTTTTCGCATCGAAAACATCCAGCATGTTACCTGTCCGCAACTCTGAAACCACAATTTAATTCACTTGCTCTCCAATTTGGCATACCTGGATGGATAGGGTCAAGGGTCGAGCGCACTCTTTTGTATGTAAACAAATGGATTAGCGATGTGACATGCGTGATTTGCTCAAACTTCAAAATACAAGGGACAGGCATAACAAACGCGCTTCAACTTCAAAGTGGCATAAACTGAATACTAATTAACATTTATGTAATACCAATGAGTTCCGAATTTCAATACTAAATTGTTATAAAATCATTCCTATACAAGTAATAGCAATAATATGACTTGATTAAGCCTACGAGTTTCTCGAATTGAATTGATATTAGGAATTCCTCAATCAATTCCTATAAATTAAATCAATGGAATTATTTTTATAACCTTGAATAAAAATATAAATGTCGAATTGAATTTACTTTATTTTAATTGCATTTCATTGAAACACAAATGGTCAACCGTCAAAACAATAGGTTAAATAGTTGGTAAAAGCCCTTGAAGCCTGAAGTTAATTGTCAATATTTGGCCAAAATTTGTGCACTTTATTAAGACATAAATCGTTAATTGGACAGTAAAACAGAAGATAAATGTTGAGCCGTAACCATTTTAAACGCATTGTAATTAATGATATGATATTAGGATTAACATTTGCATTAGAAAGTAACACATTTAATTAATTGCAAAAGAAGTCTGTGTGTCTTCAAAAATATTGAGTTTGTTTTCAATTTATTGACTTATTAACTAAAGCAAAATCTTCAAATTGAAACAAAAACAATATAAATTGGGTAAACTTAAGCAGAGGTTATTAATTTGGGAAATATTCATTTAACAGTAAATAAATACCATGATTTTGTGGATTGTTGTTATTTTTTTAATGCATCAATTTAACGATCAAAGAAACTTGCATAATTGTATAATTTTTTAAAACAATCAAAAAGTTGCGCGCTTTTAAGCGTCTAAGCGTCTGCATAAATGGCATAAATTTCTATATTGCATTGATTTTCTGGACATACTTATAATACAAATATGCAATTGGTTGCCAAAGCACTTTCTCTATTTATGGCAGGCAAATAGGTGGATATAAAGTCAATATATATGTACATACGACTACATATGTTCAGGTATCGTTATCATAGATTCCACAGCTTGGGCAAATACGATGGCAAGTTCAAGTGCACATTCCCTTACGTAATGGCATCCATGAGCATCACCGTCAGACACACCACTGGATTGGGCATGCTCTAATCTTTTACTCTGTGGCTATGCACAAAAGCCGCTTATCTGCTTGTCAATATTTGAGTAACAAAGCTATAGAGAGCAGCAATGAGCAGCCTGCAAGTCGTATTTGCATTTTGATAAGTGCAAATAGTCAATGCGACTCAGCAGGTGGGTGCACGAACGACGGACGAAATGGGCATACGATTGAGCAGGCATGAGCAGACACACATGCACACCGAAATTGGATAAGCGGCGATAAGCGCTACCTAATAAACCAATCACAAGACCCAGCCCTCTCTCCATCCCATGCGGGCACACATTATAGGCCCAAAAACAAATTGTCATGGCCGACATCTTGCCGATCGCATTGGTCAAGTGCAGCCTCAGGTAGACGGCATGCCGGCCAGTTTGGGAAAAACAACGCCATAAATATTGACGAGCATGTTTCGACCTGTATCTGTGTGCTTGGGTCAAGCGATGTTGGATTGGGAAGGGGAAAGGCACTTGCAGAAATCATTCTATTGCCTCTTAATAAGCAGCTTGGGAAAATTTGCCCACAAACTACATATGTATGTGGCTATGGCTATGGCTATGGCCACAATATTCCTTATGACTTTTCCCAGCCTTGTCTGTAAATCGCGGCATTAGGTAATCCTCAACAGGCATATAAATTAAACAGATTATAAACTCGTAGCACTGAGTAATTGAGTAATTGTAATTAAATCTCCAGCTACTCGTAGTTGTGCACTTCAAATGCTTCAAGCTTTAACTACATTTTAATTTGAAGTAGTTTGTAGAAAGATTACAAAATTTGAGAAAAATATACCATGGATAATATGTACGAGCCCTAACCACTATTAATTGGTACGGCTACGTTTTTTTTTTTTCGATAGTGCAACTTTTAATGACTTATACTTATTTTTGGGTAATTATTGCTCAAACATATTTATACTTTTTTAAAAGGTAATTGAATTACCTTTAATTTCATATCAAAACATGCCGTACCAATTAATAGTGGTTAGGGCTCGTATAATTTTTAAAATGTATTTTCAAAATTTAAAACGTATGCAATACTAATATAATCGATCACATATGTGACCTAGAACTCTTTTCTATGCGAATACTTTGAAACAGGCACTGCTTTCGGACTTGGAACCCAAAATAAATCGCACTGTTCTCAACCGATATTTCCGTCTTCTCACTAAAAGCATCTCTGCGACCGAATCTCTGACTCGCTTAACAGTCTAACGCATTAAATATTTCCTAGTTTTTATATCTTCTAATTACCAGAAGAATGCAACAGAATGTACATATAATTCGAAATCTAAGCGCCAAATGTATGAAACAGCAGACATGTCCACCTGTCCATCTATATGAATACCGAGAACCTCTTAGCCATAACAGCTGGGGACACCAATCTTGATATCTAGACTTTTCTTATCCACATATGCAGAGCTAGTTTATTACAAACTATACAAAGCCTCATTATTTATAACAAAGCTGTCATAGGACCGATCGGTGCAAAAATTAACTTAACAAATTTTTTGTTTAAAACAATATCGTAACCAAAATTAGTATAGAACTTTTATGAAAACGATGGAATATACTTGTATCATACTTGTTTTAGATGAAGGACTGTAGCGGGGAGAGGAGATGGGCAGGGTATACAAGAGTCAGACGAGTGCGAAACTTATCTTTTGTTATTTATCTTTTATGGTGAGCAAATAAAATTCCTGCCACGATTTTGATTAAATCATTGTTATTTTGTGGGGTTTCTTACTCTTCACCTTCTAAGTTTTCTTTCATAATTGTCGCTACATATAAATAAATACATTTTAAAACAGATGGACTCAAAGGATTGACAAAATTATGCTTCCTACATCGTTTAACTACATTAACGATTCCTAGAATTCACATTGTCTTGAAATAAAACATCATTTCAAAATTCAAAATCCACTCGGCTTTGGCTATTATTTCATTTCAACATAGAAATAAAAAAGAGACGGAATATTCCAGAATTTCGGGCCAGCCACACCTACACACGGAGCTCATTAAAAAAGTGCATGTTTTTGACAGTTGAGCGGCCAAATTCCAAATTCAGATATAGGGTATAGCTGAAAGTATTATCTGTACGGCAAGAAAAGCGCATAGTGGCTCAATATATTTTGTAATAAAAACAGCCGCTGAGCGACTTCTGGACGTTCGAAGAAACCGATTTCGCTATGCCTTCGGGAACCCGCTCAGTACCCACGACACGCCTCCACTGCTTCAACATGAAGCTCGTTAAGTTGTACTCTCGTCACGAGTGTCTTTGGAACATAAATCACGAACAGTTTCTGGATGGTGTGGCGCAGGCACGCATCTGGAAGGTGATCGCTCTAGAACTGGACCCTCAGGGCGACATAACACCAGAGTTCTGTCGTAAGCGCATACAGGACTTGCGCCACTGGGAGAGCTTGCATCGGTTGAAGAAGATTAGAGCCAGTGCATCCAAACGTGGAACTAAATACTACACCCCACTCTCACACTGGCGCCAGAGACAAGGCGAAGCCTATTATTTCAAAATGTCGACGGCCGATACAGAACGCGATGTGGCCATGTCCTTTAGTCAGGGTAAACAGAAATCCTTGGAGCTTTTACCCGAGGGCTGCTATGAACATGCATTCGATTTCCTCAATAAGATCTTCTCTGAAGACGATCGAGAGGAAGAAAACAGTCAATGATGAGGAAATCGATATCATAAAATACAATTGAATTCTATGCCCCTTAGTCGACCCCGACAGTCTTTAAATGTGTTCATTGTTTTAACATTCATGTCTATATGTATGTGAGTTCCTGTTTGTATGCGTGATTTTACTTGTATATAATCGTATATTTTGTTACTCAGTACACTGTCCATGTCTCGAGCCCGTACAACTCGTAGTTTAAGTTTAAGTAATAATGTTGTTGTCCTTCTTATTGTGGCGAATGTAAAAATTTAGACACTTAGTTGCGCTCTCCGTTTTATGGCCAACACAATGAGCTGACAATTCTGGCGCTACCATTAAAAACAACCAGACCACCAATGGCCTCATATTTGGAGAAGCCAGTTCCCATTACCACTCATTTACAGCAACCATAGAATCCTTGCTGTGCCATCAACGTTCAAAATGAAAAGCTGTTCACAAAGTATATTCTTGATCAGCATGACAAGACGAGACGATCTAGCCCTGTCTGTCTGTCCGTCCGTATGAACACCAATATCTCGGAAACTATAAGACCTAGGGACACCAGATGCCTTATGTGTGTACGCTTTGCCAGTTTGTTTTATTGTTTTGATTTTCCTCCCAACTTCCCCCCTAAAATCCCCCTTATTCCTTTGGTATCACCTACATTTAGTAAACTATAAGACCTAGGGACACCAAATTTTAGTCCCAGATGCCTTATGTGAATACGCAGAAAATGTATATTTTGGAATTTTCCTCATTCGCATATGTTGAATTGATTTTTATTAGTTCCAGCATCAAATTTTAAAAATAAATGCACTTTTTTATTTTGGTCCCGGCCTATTTTTTGCGACAATATAATGAACAATCCAAAGACACAGAAAAAAGAAAATCAAGTGACAAGAAAAAATAAGTCATACACTTACATGCACGCACACAAACGCAAAGGCTTTTATTTTCTCGCTCAGGACGAAACGTTCAGTAAATAATCAGATCAAAAGGGAAAAAAACTGGTTCTTGCTTGAACTAAGAACGATTTATTCGACAAACATCCTTAAGTAACAGTTATTTTGTTACGTAGAGAAACGGTTAACAGTTTTGAGCAAGCTCTGGTATAGAGTATTTCAAAGTCGGAACACTCGACTTTAGCTTCTCCACTTGTTTATTAATAAGGCAGGAAATGGCAGTGAATTCCTAAAAATTACGAAGCAAAAAGAGACAACGTAATTTTTACCACATTCTTAAAAAAATTCTTAAAAAAAATTTTTTTTTCAAAATGGAGGTAAGATACAGAAGCGGACTACTGAATTAATAACGAAGCAATCAATACATTTTGAGTCCTTCTCTCCATTAGTCTGCTCTTAGAAGCGTTAATACGTACATACATAGTACATGCATATATGTAGTATGTTTGTACATACATACATATGTACATACATACAATACATATATGGATGTTTGTAGAAATCTATAGCTTATAACTATGTATATCCAGGATTGGAAAGATTGTTTGTTCAGACACATTCTTAAATAGTTCATACGTAGAGTATGTGCATACATACATACATATGTGCCTAAACAAGTATAATGTATTATGTATAAATACACAGGGTGCGCCATCTTTTATGTCGGTATGTAAACACTGAATATCTTTGAAAATAAACAACCGATTTTCAAGTATGAGATATTTTTATTTAATTTGGTTCTGTACAATTTCTTGAACTGAGGTTTTCAACACTGGTCTACTCAAGTCAATCGGTTCAATAATGACAAAGCCATTCAATATCTACACACCGACATAAAAGATGGCGCACCCTGTACATACATACATACAATGTACATAATTCTATCTTGTGTTTTTTCATTCGCCTGTGTTGGCCCAACAAACTAAAACGCAAATTCATTTAATTGTTGCTGGCAGTGCCCAAAAGTGCCGCCAGCAATGGTTGCTGGTGCTCTGTCCCGAACCAATTCGACTGTGGTGTGAAAGGATGTGCTCTCCAAACGAGGCATTCATTCAAAGCTGTCAGCTGCAGGCGACCAAATCTATTTATGTATGTACATATGTATGTACATACATACGCATGTATTTATGTATATTTGTTTGCTCGTTCCTGTTTGGGGCAAACAAAATCAGCTCGAAAAGTTGCATAGCAGCATATTTAAATAGCCAAGAGCAGGGCTGCAAATTCTATTAAATTATTGCGTCTGTCTGTAGTCCACATCCCCACTCATTTCTACATATGTACATATGTATGTATGTACATACAAATACATATATACATGTCCTGGGAGCACACGCTGCATGCGACAGTCACCGTAAATGAGAAAATATGCCCACAAGTATAATTAAAAAACCATTTATAATAATTTCGTCGAATTCTCTACTCGACTCAGCTCGTCTGGCCACAACTTGACCTCATCAAGAAAAAAAATACTTGCCGAAATACTTCAGCCATGTCGGGCACTTGATGCTGACAATTTTCGACAGTGCGCCAGAAGAATGAAAAAAAATAAAGAAAAAAAAAGAAGAAATAGAGCCATAAATACACACCATAAAATAGGAAGGCGTCGCCATCATCGTCACCAACACATCGTCCTAGTTAGGGAAAGGACGAGAACGCCAACGCCATTGAGTTTGAATTATGTCAGCGCAGTAATAAATTGTTCAAAGCATTAAATTAAAATATATGTACATGCAATTTTGGTGAGTTCCACAACTCGCCAATAACCGACCAACCACCCATTCAGTGAGAAAAAAATTATAGTTTGTTCTTAAAATGGAAGTTACACTAAAGGTAGTATAAATTACTAAGGCCCATACAAAATAATTTTCGAAAGATTTTTGTTTGAAATGGTATATATTTGCCTTTATATTTATTTTATAGAACTGTCGTTACACAATATTTGGTCAATTTTTTATATTAAATGCATTCTAAATGCCATTTTTAAAAATGCATTTTCGATAAAACCAAATAATTGTATTAATTTAAAATCTGTTTAAAATGTCGCTATTTAAGACGGTAATATTTGTTTGAGGACAAAACTATTTCTATCAGTGTAAGCATACACACAGGCTACTGTGACGCATCAATTGGTGTACATGGCAGGGGGTATGGAGCTGGCTGGTCTGCCTCTGCGGATTTGCGTCGAAAATTTACTACATAATGCCAAGCATTCATTTCGACTCTGAAATTAAATAGGATTTTTGCGGCTATGCTGGGGAATAGTGGAGTGGGAGAAAGCCAACAAAATGCACTTGGACCAGTGCTTGAGGTCAAAGTATGGAACTACATAATAAACCGAGTAGGATTAAATACACATTTCTACATTAATATAAAGTGATTCCAGCCGTTTTACAAATGCTTAATAACACTTTTATTTTAGGCATTTTTTATGAGCTCTTCGCTATTGTAACTAACATGACTAAATGTATTTACAAACTACCAATCGTCTCTGAATGCCTTACAGAGGTGTACAAGTCCACAAAAAAAAGGAGGAATTTTATTGATTTGTTATCTGCTTAGTCGTATCTAAAACTACATTTGCGCCTATAGTTGCCTTAGTAGCATCCTACTCATCGGGATTAGCCTGAACAACCACGACAACCGCAATGAACGCACTCCACAATGCGTCCCTCCTCTAGCTTAGATTTGGGCACACGGCAGATGCAGTTGGTACCGAAATTCGTGTCACGAGTTTGTATGCAACGCAAACAGCACAGGTTCTCATAGCCAGACTTCTTCCATTTAGCTATCAGGTTCCCATCGGCGATTTTCTCCTTGAGGCAGTAGTCGTAGAGTTCACGACTGATGGCCTTGCGGCGATAGAACAGATCGTAGATGTAGCGCGTCTTTTGGTGGTGTATCTTGAAAATTGGCCACAGGGACTCTGTTATGCGCTTTCCTTCGTGCGGCTCAGTTTCGGCTTTAAGGAACAAACAATAAAGACAACAATAAACGTTTAATATTTTGGCGGCGGCGTCAGCATTTTTTGCTTACCTTCCCGCATTTTCTGTTCCAGTTCTTCCAGCGTTGGCTCAATCAATTCCCAGCCATCCGGGGGCGGCTTACGACTGCGACGTACTTTTGGCATTATTTTTTTCTACAGTAATTTAAATGGTTGAAATATTTTTAAATTGTTGAAAATATAGCAGTTGCTGGCTGCATAAAAAAAGAGAAGCAAAGCGTCACAACAGCTGTGCGGCGTCAGTGTTGCCAACCGACTCTGTTACGAAACGAGCGAGACAAGCAACACTGTCCGCTAGTGACGTCGATAGCAAATAATAGTGGAAACATATCGGCTGCACGTACTCACCTTGCACATCGCCAGCTGCAGCCTGAGCCAGTCGCAGAGAAAACGCGAGGCGATTATTTATTTATATTCGCGCATGTTATATGTAATTGTAATAGCAAAAGCCGTAATCGTAATGAGTTGATTGTTTTTTAATGTTATTGGATTGAAACGCGTGCGTGCAATGTAAATTAGTGTTGTGTTTGTCTTTAGGTTCAAGTACATTCAATTTTTTTTTGATGTGAATGTTTGTTGTGTTCTGAATTCCTCAATTGCAATTGCCAAATTAATTAAGCAAGGAAATAAACGACGCACACGGAAAAGTAAGCAAAGATCAAGTGTGTGTAATATTGTGTAATAATCTGTGCATCTTATTTCACAAAACAATACACAACATCACGCGCTCAAAATCTATCTGTGGCGCAACAATGAAACAGTTATAACATTGTCATTTGGCCACTATTATTGCGCTGGTGCTATTGTGGTTGCTGTTGGCTGCTGGCTGCGTTTATCTTGCGGGGGCGAAGCAAAGAGCAGTAATTAGCACAGTGGTGGCGACAAAGTTGGCGTCTCTCGGTGCTTGGAACGGCGGCAGCAATTTTCTAGATAATTACACATAGAAATACACGCTGTCGCCAAAAATTAAAAACAATAAAAATAGCGAGCGACAGTCAAAATATTCATTACAAATAAAACGAGGCCTGAGTACATGATTGTGTCAGTGTATGTATGTATGCTTGCGTGCGTCTTATTTGCGCATCTATTGTCGAGTCCTCTTGCCAAATAGCAGTTAAAAATGCAAGACATTGATTTTGTTGTTTTGCTTTTGGCTTTGTATTTGTTGTAATGTGTTGCTTTCATTCATAAGTCTGCGGTTTGGTTTGTTTTTTCTTCTTCTTTCTCTCCTCTTCTACTACAACGCACAAACATTTGGCCTTCATCATGTATCGCGCTCTCGCTCTTACACTTGCCTTCGCCCACATTCACCCGTCGTCACTATTGCTGGCTGATGTTGTTTAACTTGTTGTTGTTGTTGTTGTTGCTGCTGCTGCTCTCCTTGCCACACTTTTTTCATCCGTAGTAAATAGTAATGTAAATGATTAGCATTTTTTCTATTGTGCGCTTTGATTTCATGCTTTTCTCGTTGTCGTATATAAAGCGCACAATCACATAAAAATACATGCATACTCATGTATGTATGTCGTACATATATATATATATAATTTACTTAACTATTAAATGTTGGTGACCACCCCCTATTCTGGCTGACAAACGCCCCTCACTTTGCATTCACATGCATATTCAAACATAAATATATACCCGTATGTTTTTGTGTACATGCATACATAAGTATGTGTTTTTGTTGTTCTCAATTGATGTGGGTGTATGTATGTATGTATTTATTTATTTATTTTTGCAAGCGCAACAAATCAAAATGTATGTACATATGTACGGCTGTGTTTTATATTCCGACAATTTTGTCGCTTTTTATTGTCCCAATTGCCAGCAACTACCGACAACATAAATATACTATATGTACGTATTTTATTTCTGTTTCATTAGCACGTCCCTCGGTCCCAAATTACTTAACACCTCATTGATCCCACGTAGCAATTTGAGAACTTTTAACCAACCAGCTGCTTTCTACTCGTACAATCTTCCATACGACATACATACATACATAGCTATACACACATGTATAATATTTAAGTATTTATGAATGTATATATATATATATATATATATATATATATATATATATATTTATATAGAATGTCAATATATTTTCAAATACACCTTTGCTTCGAGCAGCAGATACACCTAACAAATATACAAATATATAGGTATGTTCTAATGAACACAATAAATGTTTTCTACAAAAACAAGAAAGGAATGTCACAGTCGGGCGGGATTAACTCTTAAATACTCCGGTACGGTTGAACTAGTTTCAATAACACAGATTTACATACATAGGGATCGTGTCTATGTGTGCCGTTCAAAATTCTACTAAAGCAACAACAACAGGACAGGTGGATATGGCCATATCGATTCGTCTCGACATACTTCTCCAGAATATGCACATATGTACAATATATACTTAGTGGTATTACTTAATGGCCACCTACGTAGCCTTATTTACCTTTAAGTTTCTATCATATTAAATGGCATATATATGTAGAAGAAATTTTTGGTTTTCTGCTAACCGGTTATATTCTTAACTAAAGCAACGTTGGTTTTATAAGTGAAAAGGATTTCATTTTCATCTTAATTAACCAATTGAAATTTCATTTTCCGCTGATATATAAACAATTTGTTCATTATGTTTTACAATTTGATTTACTATTCAATGAGATCACAAATTGTGATCTTGCCACCAACTTGAATTTATATCTTGGCTCGCTATTCTGCTGATAGATCGAAAAATGTACATACATACCATTTTGATCGAGGGTGTAGGTGTGCTTATATTTATCTGAAACAGTCCTTAAACTTCAGTCCAGGGCTATAGATATCGATAAGATAAACATTTTAAAGCAAACTGGCAACATTTTAAAACAAATAACAGTTAGTTAGGCAAACAAATTTTGATTGTTCGAGACTGCGATAATTACAAATGTCCGGCATATACATATGTACATATGTATGTACATTTAGTATGTATGTACATATGTACTATAAGTATGTAAATGCACAAATGCGCCTTAATTGCCGCGTAAATATTTGCAATCACTCTCTCGCATATACTCGTACATATAGTAAGTACAACCAAACAACCTTAAATATACATAGTATATGTACGTACTCTTATATATGTATGTATATATTCATGTAGTACATTGTGGGGGTTGTGGAGGTTGATCTTATCAGTCAGACTGCAGTCGCAATGAAAATAAGGGGAATTGATTCGGATCTCTCTATTCACATGCCAGGCTCCCTATCGCTTCGTGGCCGCCTCCCCTGCTCTATGTTGCAGTTGCAACTCAATAATAACGTAGTGTGACGTCAGGGAGTTCCAGTAACTGCAATCGGAGCCAGAAATGCAGGGCTGCTTATCAACAAATGACAAAATGTCATTAGCATGAATAATGCCAATTAGCAACTTGATTCATCATAGACCAGCCAGCACCATACAAGACTACATTGTTTTGTTAATGTATATTGATTTATTGAACTTGAGGAACTACAAAAATATTTTTAGAAACGTATAAAGGAGGTTAAAGAATAGTGTAGGCTAAGTTCTATGAGTAATCGAAAAACTAGTTAACAAGAAAGCTAGTTCCCGTTATACATAATTAAAATTTGCTGAAAAAATTTGTATTCTTCAAATTGTAAGCCGCAGTTGTTATAAAATTGACATTATAACAATTCTGGCCTATCTTCTGCTCAGGCATTAATATTTGATACGGAAATATCTGGACTTCAATTAAGTGTCAGACACCAACAGCTTTTTTTTTTCGCAAAATCAAGAAAGCAAACAAATGTCATCTATATTTATTCGTACGTATAGTATATATTTTGACCGATTGATACTATGAAAGCGATAAGATGTTGCTCGATAAAGCTTGAAGTGCGTGCGCCGTCACCCTCTATACTAGTTCCACTATTATATTCAAGCACCAATTTAACAACCCGCCTGGTAAATTTAGACAAACTGTCTGCATTGGTGAAAAGAAATCGTCGCACTGCACTGCACCCCAATTGCAATAATTTAGTGTGCTCTATATGATTCACGATTTATCGTGTTTATCATCATTATTAAAAAACGCCGGACTTGAATATAACATTGACGTGTCATATACATACATACATACATATATATACATATGTACATATGTATGTTGGCTGAGTTCTTCCTTATGTGGAAAATATTCTGCAGAGCTGCAGATTTTTCATTCACATTCCTCTCCCATCTTTACAGTCCGCGACGTCAAAGGCCTCAATATGGAGCCCACAACTGCCGGCAATCTCTTAGAGATTATCGATCTGGCGCGGACCCTGCGCCAGGAGCAGTTATTCATACAGCAAGAGCAGGCAGCGTTTGCGCAGCTTAACGACGCGCTTGAGACAAATGCTACGGAAATAACGAAGGTGTGTATTCATTTGACTAGCCCGCATTAATAGACAAAGAGAGTTCAGGGTTATGTTCTGCGCTGACTTATTCCATTGTCTCTCAACAGCTGGCCTATATCTGTGCCCAACAAAGGCAGAATCTGCATGATCTGCTGCTGTCACGTACGGATCACGATCCGCTCTTGTGCTGTAGGCGCGCCAACGGATATGACAGTGTGCAGTTTATCGATGCCAAAAAGGCAATGCTTTATGAGGTAAGCTAACCAGCCCTACAATAATCCGACAGGCGACAGACAATAAATAAAATTATACTATAGTCTTAATGCGTATCTTGTGCTTCATTCTTGATAGTATAACCTGTTTTGAAGCGCCAATATTGGATTAAATTTGTTTAAGAAAGATCAAAAACATAAACTAGGTTGTACGCTCAAGAATTACGTATCTACAAGAGTTGGTCGACTTGCGTTTCATGAGTTTGTTTATTGTAGCTCAAGTATTATATTTCAACCAATTTAATTATTAATCAAATAAAAATAAGATTCTACAATGAAAAACGCACCATCCATCACATAAATTCTAAATGTTTTTTCGTTCCCTTAACTAATAGCATGCCCTGGCCTACGAGGATCTGTTCAATTATCTATATAATGCACCATATTTGCTGGCTCTCTCACTGGCGACAGCAGATCGTTTGTCCCTGGTCGGACAACAGCAGTTATGCCATGTGATTAATACCATTACGACGGGACTGTACGGCAATGCCATCAACACCAAGGATGTGGAGTTGCTCCTAAAGCTGTTGCGTGAATTAATCGAGATCCAGTTGGTGGGTAGTGAGAATCCTCGTCGCTTACTGCGTGCGAATTCGAGCGCCTTTGCACGTCTCTATCAGCGTTTGGTGGAGTCGATGTTTTCCGCAAAGATCTTTCTAACTGCCGCCCTGCATGCGCCTCTGATGTGTGTGCTGAGTGAGCATGAGACGCTGTTAGATCTCGATCCACACAAGTTGGTTCAGAGTTTTAGCGCAAGAGAGCGACAACGACGATTCGGAGCCGAGGAATCAAGTGCCGAATATCAGAGGAATGTGGCGCGTTTTCATAGCGAAACCTTGGCCAAGTTGCATGCTCATGCAAAGGCATTTGTGGCGAGTCTGCAACAGAACTGGTCGCTGTTCCCCTCATCCCTTCGTTGGTTAATGCAGACGCTCTGCCATCAATTGAAGCAGGCGCATCGTTACAGCGAACGTCAGATTTCGGAACTCATTGCGGATATGGTTTTCACGCATTTCATTTGCCCCGCAATCGTAAGTCCGGACTTTATGGGCATTATTGATGCGCCGGTGACGGAACAAATGCGCCACAATCTCAACCAGATAGTACAGCTCATTCAGACACTGGCACAAGGTGGTGGCGTTGGTGGTGGCTCGGGAGTTGCCGCAGTTGGAACAGTTGGAGAATCAAATGCGGTGGCACAGCTGATTGATTTGCTATTGGTTGGGCAGACCGGTGAGGATGTGGTGGCCATACTTTCGCAGCAAAGTGATTTTGAGCGCGCCCAGCTGGTAACCACACAACGGGAGCTTCAGCACTTTTCTCAATTCTTTCGACTACTAACAGCCCGTGATGAGTACGATATATCAGCTGAGGAGCGTCAGCGATTGCAACGCATACTGGCACGAATTCCACAACCCGTAGAGGCACCACCGAGCACACCCGTGATTAGCGGTGGAAGCAGCGAGAAAAACACACCCAATGGCAAGCGGGCCAACAAGGGTCTAATGCGTCTGGGTAAGGCCACCAAGAAGAAGCTGGCCATGAGCATGAGTTTTAACACCGGCAGTGGGAGTGGCCATCAGCCCGTTGAGCCACAAGTCAATGGAAATGGTAACGGTGGTTCCCCCCCTTTGACCAATGGACGCGATTTGGAGCAATCATCTGCGCACAGTGCGAGTAACTCCAGCCTCAGTTCCTGTGATGATGGTGGCCCAGGCGGTGCCACACTTGCCTTCGATAACCAAGCCCTCGATGAGCCCGTACTAATGTTTACAATTTATAATGCAGCAGCCAAGAACAAAGTGAAACCACTGACCGAAGAAGAGGTCCTCAAAATGAACTGCATTGGCCAAGAAATCTCAAATGAGGCAGCCGCGGCCTTGCTGGCCCACACCAATGACAAATCCTCAACCGAGGCCAATGGCTGCTACGATGATGTGAGCAGCATTGATGCACTGCATCGACCCAAGAATTCGCTCTCACATGACGACGCGTCCATCGGTAACTCAGACAATCTGGAGGCGGTGAGCGAAGCGGCGCATTCGAATCATTCGGTGACAAGTTCCCTGGATCTTGAGGAACAGGAGGAACGTGATGTGCATGATGCTGAGAACGATGACAATTTGTCGGATATGGTGTCCGCTAATGTGTCAGGTCGGGGTACGCCCAATATAAGCGGTCGCGATACGCCCTCGTCGCAGGTTACCGATGGGGATGGCGGTGGTGATTTGGTCCATCATACGCCTAGGCCTACGCCACAAATGCAAAAGATGTTGCTGTCGAAGGCGCGTTCAGACATCGAGGACAAGTTTTGCAAATTCGAACTAAAAAAATTCGAGGGCGATGAGAATGTGTCGATCATTTCGGACACCTGGTCGACGGATGTGCTGGCCAGTGATTCGGAGACAACGCTGGATGCGGCCAGTGAGCGAGAACGGGATCGCAACTTTTCCACGCCGCTTATTCCATCGGCGGTTGTGTTGCCGGGAGATCAGAATTTTGTTGTAGAGGCGTTAGCCCGCGGAGCTGGTGGTGCTGTGGTGCCGTCCGGCAGCGGTGTGCGTTCATATCAGCTTGATGCATCAGATCAGCGGTCAGAGTCCAATTGGAGCACAGATGTGCTGGCCAGCGATTCAGAGAAACTAGCCGAGATCGATACGGACGATAACGTGAGTATTACGGCGAAGTCGGATATTACAGATGCTGGTGTACGCTCCGAAACGGAACGCGATGCACTGGCGGCGGCGGTTATTGCCGGTGGCGCCGGTGGTGCACCCGCCAACGATGGCGAGCATACACCAGGCAGCAGTGGCGACAATGCTAGCGAGCGCTCAAAAGAAGATTCCGCCTTCTTCGATGCAGTCAATTCGTACGACGATGCAGGCGGTGGTGCGGGTGGTAGTTCTGTTCACTACCAGGGACCCTCATCTTTGGCACGCAGCTCTGTACGCACTAGCTACCATGCTTTGGGTGGTGACAGCAGCTTCCAGCAATACTATAAATGCAGTGGTGCCGAGGGCGGAAGTCGCAAGACTACACCCTTCATGGGTACAGCCTGCATGCGACGCCAGACGTCGGCGGAGAGCAGTATTTCAAACCAGAGCCTCAACTTGGAGGATGCAGGCAAGCCACCACCAAAGCACCACCATCATCATCACCATCATCACAAGTCGGTCATGAAAAAGAAGAAACATGGAAGCAACGCCAAGCCGGACAGCAGCGACCATCGCGATCTCATTGACTTCAGTGACTGCAGCGAGGATAAGCCGTTGCGTTGCCGCTCCCCAGGTCTGGTGCAACAGCTAATGGATTTGTATGCAGAGGAGCAGCACCTGGGCACAAAATCGGAGAGCGTTGAACACCGCCGGCTCTCAATGGAACAACGCACGGCTATTGTTGATGGCCGACGTAATGGAATAATGGCAATGCGCCATAACGGTCAGCAAGCAGAAACAGATGAATCCGCTGTTAATAGACTAGTGCCAGGCTTGCGACGCCATCAGAGTCTCAACTATGAGAACCATGAGATAGTAATTGGCACGATTGCAGCACCGGCCCAACCGCCAGCGCCACAAACCGACGACGATAAGCAACAGGAGCTGTTGTTGTGCGCTAAGACCCAGAAACTGCAACTCGATGGGCAGACCGGAACAGACTCCACTTCCTCCGCAGCGGCAACAGTGGCTAAGCCAACAAAAGCAACGGGTGCCATACCAAAGAGCATAAGCTTCGATGCCACGGCGGACAAACAGCCGGCCTTAGCACTGGGTCTATCCCCATCTGCAGCCATGACGCGCAATAAACGCGAGCGCACACCATCCTCAGCTTCCCATGGTGGTGCTGGCGATGGCATATTCAATAAGCTGAAGCAGGGCATCTTCAAGCATCGGCGCTCCAACAAAACTGCAGCCCAGCGCCTGACTCTCGAGGACTATGGTGGTGCCGGCAGTTCCAGTGGCATGCGCAGTGTCTCCTTCGTTCCGAATGCCGCATCCGTCAGCTTCGGTAGCGACGCCGTTTTCTGTGATAACAGCGAAGATATCCTGGCCAAATACAGACGCAAGGTGAGCACCTCAAGCGAGGCTACCAACTCGGACTCAACCGGTAATAGCGCGGGCGCGTTACTAGCCTCATGTCATCGCCAGCACATTGATGGTGTCGTTGATGGCGGGTGAGTAATTGTTCTAAGTTGATTGTATACCTTTAACCCGGTTTACTAGAAACTCGCCAAGAAACCGCCAAGTGTATTGATAGGCAGACGGATTTGTGGCAAACCCAATTCTATTGACACAAGAAATATAAGCATAATGAGTCAAATAGACATGTTCGTCCGTATGAACACCGAGAACTTCTGAGCCATAACAGCTAAGGACTCGAGAGACTAAGTTCGTAAGAAACCATATACATATAGCCTCGTTGCAACATTCCTTCTTACTAGAATTATTTCGCATCTTCATCCAATTTGGTTCATTTATATAATCTGAAGTTTGTAGTTTATAGCAACTTTATAGCAAAGCGATCTGCGCTAACTTTGTAATTATTATTTATGAATTTGTTAATGCATCACTCAATTTTTTAATCAACATTTAATAGGATCGGTATATAACTATATTATATAGGTGCCGTTGGAATGATTGGTGTTACACCATTATCATTTTGAAAGTCGATTTGACGGGGAAAGTCAAATAAAAATGTCTTTATTAGGACTATTTTAGAAGAAGAAAAATCGAAGATTAGCGCGAGTTTCGAGACCACTTCATATAGGACTCTTAACACAGTCTTAGCATCATGACTAATGCACCCTCTCCGTCTCTTTTTTCCATACAGCAAGCTGCCTATGGCCAATGCCTGTGTAGCCTTCAACAGCGTCAAGCAAAAGATACGCACGGTTCTATCCAAGACTGATCTGCATAGTGGAGACTTTCGGCAAACCACGGCATGTTTGAAGTTTTATAAATTCTCACTTGTTCAATCGCTAACAATATCTCTCCTCTCCCTCTAACAGTACGTCAATGCCTCACCATTGAAGACGTATTTGCAAATACAATTGGCACAGTCCATCAATCTGCAGAATGTGCCGCAAATTTCTCATGTGGCCGAGGCGTTGCGCTGCATGGCCCAACTGGATAGAAAACAGCACTTGCAACTACTACAGGAACTACAACATGACATTCAGCGGCGTCAGCATTATCTTCAATATCTGATGCGCTACCGACAGAATCTATTGCTCATTGCCGAGCATCTGGAACAGTTTGAGGTGCGGCTGCGTGGAGAGGCCCAAACATGCCATCGCTATCATATGCAGGTCTTTGTCAGAATCTATCTGACGCGACATCAAGCCAAAATCGATGCCTTCGAAACGGACTTTGCTCAGCTAACCGCCTCCGATGACAAAATCGAGCTGATCGAAGAGTTCATCGAGGGTCTCTTGGAGGAGTTGCAAAGCGGTTGCGGTCAATTGAATGGCATGACCGATTGGCAGAGCGCCTCCGTGCGAGCAGCCATTGAACGTTTTCTGCTGGAGCATGTTTACCAGCAGGTCATGTTTCCCAATGAGGATGCCGACCTATCGCGTGATACGTAAGTCAAATATTACTAATAAAAAACGGTCGGGGTCAGGGTTCAGAGTAGCGTTTCTAATGTTTTCTTGAAGTGGCGAATCCCTTTTTTTTATTAACTAAAACAATTGATTTGCACAACTCCTTTTAAAAAGCTGCTTAACTTTTGTGATTGTAAAATGGTTTTAGAATATTGTCTTACAATGATTTCCCATTCCATAACATTTTATATATGTACAAAACGAAATTCTAACCTAGATTCTCCCGTCGTTTTGCAGTGTACTTTCGGCCCACATCGGCAAGTTGCAACGCATCATCCATCCGGCTCATCCGGCATTACGCATTGCGCAGGAGTTTCTGGGAGAGGCACCCTGGACCTTTGCCCAGCAGCAGCTCTCATACATAGCTGCCTACAAGACTCCGCGTGAAAAGCTCCAGTGTGTGATTAAGTATGTGGAAAGATCCGCTCCAATTGTTGCTCCAATTTATTGCTAATGCTATTGAATCTTTCAGTTGTATCTCGAGCATTATGAGTCTACTGAGGATGTCGAGCAGTCGTGTTCCCGCCGCTGACGATGTACTGCCCGTGCTCATTTATGTGGTCATTATGGTAGGTAGTTAATGGGGCTGAAAGCCACAATTTGTTCATAATCCTTTGCCTTGCAGGCCAATCCGCCTTACTTGCTGTCCACCGTCGAATATATTACCTGTTTTCTGGGCAAAAAACTTGTCGGCGAGGATGAGTTCTATTGGACGCTCTTTGGCTCTGTGGTGAAGTTCATCAAGACTATGGATTATCTGGATTAGTTATGTTTGCGTATTTAGGCTTGGCGAGCTCTAAGCTAAACAAACTCCGGGTCTTAAATACAATACACTACTTTGGAGCACCCTTGAATTTCTCTAACAGAAATGTCCAATTTAGGATACAATTTGATTGAGGAGTTCAGTTGTGATTTTTGTAAGCTGAACATGGCAAGCGATCGCTGCTGACGCTAAATATTGATATTCATTTGAAACTACACATATATTTATATATATACTTACGTGCATACAAACATACATATACATATAGATGCTAGCATCGTACATACAATTCTTATGTAAAAATTGTTATTAAAAATATGTCAAGTTGAAATTAAAACACTACCTTCCCCCCTTCTTTCCATACTCGGTAACTACTTTCGAAGCCTAAAAATATACACATAATAAATCTTATTTAGAATATAGCCTAAATACACACACACCCACATATGTATATGTACCTAAATATTTATATATAAGCATGTACTAAAAAACGAAAGAACAGATGAAAACCAACTAAATATTCCTTATTGTGTAACACAAAAAATAAACAGTAAAAGATAAAGTAAATATATTTACACTTATAATCACATTGTCGCCTTGCTCCACCCTAGTGCCCAGCCTTTATCGATCGCTCATTTTAATTATAGGTGCTAAATTTATTTTAGTCGGTATTCGCATAAAGCTGCTAAGTGGTATGAACGATCAAGTGTGCCATAATGATCGAGTGAATGCGAACGCACCTGTAAGGCGGCATAAGAAATCTTTGAGGGTTGTGCGACTTGGCCGAACTGTTGAACCTATTCATCCTTCATATAGTTTATTTTCCTATTCGATTGGTCCATTTTTTCGTAAGTTTCATTGCACTTTACATTTACCAAGTACATAAGTAATACCAACTACTTAATACTTAACAAACGCATCTTGCCAGAGAAAGGAATGTGAATTTTAATTGATTTTTAATTTTTAAAAATATCATGTGCAAATTACTGTGCAGTTAAACGTCTCGACAAGGAACAGAACATATGAGATAGCTTAAGAAGAGACAAGAGAGAACGCTGCAGTCGAGAACGCTAGTGTTAAGAGAATCTGGATACGAAGTTTGGTTGTTCTAGCTCTTATGCTTTCTGAGATCCCTGAGTTCATACAGACTTTCACCCTTTGGGTACAGGGTATAAAAATAAAAGACGACACAACCGACAGTTCTAAGGAACCTGAAAGTTCGTTGGTGAACAGAGGTCGAGAATGCAAAAAAGTGGGAGTTTTTTTAATATACACCTATTCTGTTTTTCGCAGCAGATTGGTTCCAGAAAAAAACGTGTAAAAAGACATTGATCATATGAAAAAATAGGTGATTGGTTCCTTATCTCTAAATAAATATTTATAAAATTTTAATTTTCAAACCGTGTTAGAACCATAATAGATATAATCGAGACCACGCCCTCCTTATGGACTGCGGACCATGGTAATATTATGGTTCTAAGATTTCAATAATGAGTTTTTCAATCTTTATTTGGATTACCTCGATTAACTCTACTAATAATTTATATATACAATTATTTCTTTTTAATTTGCCAACGAGTATTTATTTTCAGAAAAGAAACTAAGCTAAAAAAAAAAAACACAAAAAAAGTAAACAACGAAAAATGCAATTTGCTTTTGACATAGGTAACAATTTGTCATAATGATGGCAGGAGCGTGCTCTAATTTCAAATACAATTCCTAAGACTACAACTTAAACTAAAGCTGAATCAGACTTCGGCAATATTGGTTATACTTGTATATGTAGTATGTATGTGCGCGTACATATGTACCAAGAATATGGGTGGGAGTGGATTCAGCGACTATTGTTGTAGTTCATATCTCTCGAGGTCCGTGTTACGGCCACCCATCAGGTAGGCATTGATGCACATCTGCTGCATGATGGTGACTCCGATTTGCTTTAAATAGGCGAAATCTCGGGGCGCAAGTGGCGCTCGCTTCGCATCCACAAAGCAGTGAGTGGCGGAGGCTGCTGTCGGATCGGTGCTGAAGGGTGAGCGAGGCTCCAAAATGCAACCTCCACCGGCACGCAAAACATTCTTGATGGCATCCTTGCTCTTTTCCTGTAGACTGAGTATGACGCGATGCTCACTGAAGGCGCCGCCTCCACTCAAACTCAGCTCCACACGCCACCGGTGCACGGCCGTTGCAATCACCTGCTCCTCCGGAGCCAGAGTTGGCTGATTTTGAGCCTTCGGATTGCCCCACTCGTACAGCTCCTCATCAATAAAGGCGCCCCGCAACTCGCTCTCCTCGATGTACTTCGTGTAAAGGACCCACTTGCCAGCGGCCATGCAGCCGAGCATTTTCTCGCCACGATTGGGTCGCTCGCAAATGAAGTGAGTACAGCTGGCATCGTAGTTTATCAAGTTGGAGCAGACCTGCAAATTAATCAAGTTTATAACATCATTATCAGAACATAGTATCGAACTTAATGAACTCAAAAATGGCGAATTTCTCTGTTAACCTATAGTCGGATCAATAATTATGTGTATAGATATTTTCAAAAATATATAATTACAGGACACTAAACTTTAACTCATATCGAATCAATTTGAAAATAAAAAAAAACCTATGTAAATATATTATTATAAATACAAATACGTATTATAGAAAAACAGCACAAACTATTTTTAGTTCGTATCCATTATACTTGTACGTTATTGGGATATTCTTCTAAAATATGTCGAAACATATTACGGATTTATAATATTCCACTAGTAGTTCAACTTATCTTATTAATTTTAATTTTTTGTTTTTGTTTGGTTTAATCACGTAGAAAAACTATCCGAAGCTTTGCTGAGCTTTATTTATGCCGGAGTACCACGTAATGTTGGAAACGAAAATTTGTAAAGTTCCGAAAAGATAACACAATCATATAATGATCCAATATATTGGGCTATGAAAATTGTAACTCACCTCTCCGCCAAGCTTACGTATCTTCTCGATAAGCTCCGCCTTCTGTTCGTCGTCGGAGCTGGAGATGCTGAAGCAGGGCGTTCCTTTATGCTGCATTCGCGGCGAGCCCGTAGATCGGCGCTTGGCCGCATTGAACTCGGCCGGATCGCGCCAGCCAACAGCCTCTTCAGTGCCCAACATAAAGCCCTCGCTTTCGAATGGCTGCACAAACTGCACCTCGCTCTCCATATAGCTCTCCTCGCCATGTTTCGAGCGCTCCACACGTTCCGCCCGACTGTGGGAGCGTTTCAGACTGTTGCGTTTCGAGGCACAATTCTTCAGATAGTCAGTTAGTTGCTTCAGTTCGGGTGAATTGGTGGCTAGCGTGGTTGTGCCATCGGCCGTAACTGCCCCAGCAGTTATAGTGTTCTGATTGGTCTCCTCAAAGCTGATCTTGTCAAAATTAATTGTGCTCCGTCCCAAACCAGACTGAGCCCCAGCTACTCCTGGACTTTGCGTGCCGGGAACGAAATGTGAGCCATTGGGAGAAGCTTCATGCACGATTGCCCCCCCAGACGTAGTGCCCGGTGAATCCTCGAAGAGTGTGCGTCCGGGTCGAAGGCGTACATGTGAGCCCGGCAGGGGGGTAAATGTGTCCATCCTTTGGGCTGAGGATGAAGATGTTGAAGGCGATAACGGGGCTGCATATGAACTCCTTAAATCCTTAGCCGTTGAACTTATTTTCTTGTTGACAGGCGTTTTCTTTGCCGCCGGTGAAGCTTTCTTCGTTTCTACATTTTTGGTGGGTTTGGCCTCATCGCCGTCCTCATAATCGATGCCCAGTGTTTCACAGGTAATGCGCATCACACGCTTCCGTATTACCTCAATGGGCGTATCCGGTGAGATCTTATGCACCGGCAATCGCCAACGTCTCTCGAAATCATCGGCCATACGTTGCTGAAATTCTGGGGTCAGACAAAAATCTGGTATACCCGGCGGAGGGCGTTGGAGACGTCTGTTTCCCGGCGTTGCGGCCATTCGTCGCATGCGTTCTAGCTCCGGTGTCTGATTCTCACGCATTTCACGTATAATCTCACGGATGCAGTCTCGGTCTTCATCCGAGTTCAAACGCTGAATGAATTTCTCCAGAAAGTCAAAGTTATAGCCACCACCGGCGGCGCCATTTTGACTGAGCGGCGTGCGCGGCGAGTCCGGCGCCGCATGATCGGAAGCAGACCCGGAGCCGCCACTGGAACGTCTAGAGACGCTACGTGTCATAGCACCAGGATGAGCAAGTTCCGAGACACGCCTGTTACGCAGCGGTGTGAATTCTGCCGTTGTTGGTGTCGCGTGTCGAGGAGAAGCTGGAGGCGGCACCATCGGTGCTGCTACAGCCACGCTACTGGCCTCCTGATTCTCAATTTCCTCAATGGAAATAGGGGGCGTAATGGTCACATTGTTATTGGGAGCGGGGGTTAGGGTTTTGCTGGACGAGCTCTGGTTTTTGGACTGATTGCGCTCTTTGAGACGCGGTGAATCAGGAAAATCGGTGGCGCTCTTCCCTACCAGATGATTGATGTAGGGCAGCTTCTCTCCGCGTTCGGCACACTCGACTAGCCAGGCAGAGTTGACAACAGGATATTTCCATTTAATAGCACCCTGATACTTGGAGCCCTCAGCGCTAGGACAGACGAGCAATGGCTTCTCCTTTTTTATGAACGTCTTGTTCACATTTGCGCCCAATAGTGAGGCTATGGAGTTGATAAAATCCCGCTCCAGACCCGCATAAATGGACACCACCACTGTCATGCCTTTGAGGGGCTCATTAAGGGCCTGATGGGGTATATGACAATGATAGTATTCCAGGGGCAACAACTTGTTCTGCTTCATGCAACTTTCCTGCAAAAGGGGTAACAGTTTTTAGGGCTTGGGTTTGGTTGGGGCTTGATGGTTGCAACCACTCACCATATAAAGCTCCGTCACTACATGCCGCGCTTTTACCGGTAACGTGCTGACATCGAACGCCACCTCAAATGAGACAATTGCATAGTCCACGGGATCAGAGAAGTTCTGCGAGACGAGATTGCCTTGCGCCGCCTCACATTCGCTCAGCATTTGAGTGTAAAACTCGCCATTGAAGGACTCTTTGTGCACATAGATAGAGGCGCCCATAAAATAGTCGAGCTTATCGAAATCAATGGACAGAACGCTGGCGCTTAGGTCCCCCAAAGCAGCAGCCTGCTCGGCCAATTTATCAGTTGGCATTGGTTGAGCCACAATTAGTTCGCCACCCACTTGTGTGGATGATGCCGCTGGCTGCATGATAGCATCATGAGTTTCATTTGCAAGCATTGCTGCTGCTGTTGGTGGCAACTTAGCCGCCGGCTCGTGCTCCTGTGAATAATGTGTGAGTAGTTGTTCTTCCGGCTCATCACTCTCGGCGGTTTGCTTCGCCTTGATATCGAACAGTTTCTTTTTGATGGGCAATCCGGGTTGCTTGAAACTGTGATTCATGGAGCGCAGGGTACGCTTAGATGCAGGTGAGGCCATATCTGGCTCACGCGTCTGTGGCAGGGACACACGATACAGCGATTCATTGGCTATCCGTCCCGCCTTCAAACTCTCAAGCAGCCAGTCGAGTCGGACAATATGCACAGAGCCCACTAAGCCATCGCGTTGCCATTGTTTATAGGCTGCATCTTCCAGCTGTCCCACAATAATGTGCGTTACGCCATCGTTAGCCTCATCGTAACGTGTAGCACCTCCAGTGTTGAGAACCCGATTGAGTTTTTCCCGCTCCTCACTGCGGAAGCCGCTCAGATAGACACAACAGCCATCCAGAAATGGGCCCGCCTTCTTGGCATGGCTTGGGCAAATCTCCGCCAGCGTCTGTTGATAATGCTGTGCACCAGAGCTGGTGGCCTGCTTCAGTAAGTCTTTTGAACTGCCGGATGCTGACGGTATGCCGGAATTGCTCTCCACTGGAGAGCTGGCCAGGCTGCTTATAGTTTCGTTCACGGTGGTCACATCGCTGCACATACGCCGGGCGACACCCGACACAAAGCTGATGCGCGACAAATCCGAGAGCTGCGTATGATCTGCCACTGTTTGATTACTTGCCCCGCTTTGTTTGGTGGGCGTGGAGACCTGTTTGCGTGGTCGCACCTCGTACTTTTTGGTGGGTAGAGCATAGCCACGTTCATGACTATCGAAGATCCACTCCGGACGCAGAACATCTTTCTTAAAGCGCACAGCTGCTTTGTATTTCTCAGAATCTGTCTTTGACTGCTCCGTGATGACAATATCCACTTGCTGGGAGCGAAAGGCGCGATGATAGCAGCCACCGTTCTCATTGACCAGACGCATGATCTTGTCCTTGACGCTGGATTCAAGACCGCTGCATGTGATGTTGGTGCCAAAGAATGTGGGCAGCCGATACTTGTCGAACTCAGTGTTGGTGGCATTTATGTCAACATCCACGCAACTGCGATCCCAGACGCACTGCACCCAATCCACATGCATTACGGGCACATTGCTCAAAGTCGCATGCTCATATTTATTAGATTTGATGGTATTAGAGATTAAATGCGTAATGGTGCGTCCAAAGTTCTGGAAATAGTGGCCTCCCATCCAGAGCACCAATTTGCTCAACTGCTCTTTCTGGTCGACTGGAATGCCAGTAGCCGAGATGTGCACATCCCGCATAGCAGTCGTGTAGACAGGACTTGTGCCCAAGGGTATTGGCTCGCATTTGGTGAGACAGTGCAGCACACAGGGCGGTCCCAGCACTAAGGCCTTTGTCATTTGCAGCTGCTCGAAGAAATTGCCCTCGAATACAGCCAACACAAAGACATCCTTCTTGGTTAGGCTACCGGCAGCAATCAGCGTATACCCCTCACTAGGCTTAATTTCTCGAATTTGCGAAGCGTCCAAATGTTCTCGCATGAGGGTCAGAGCGCTGGCTAATTGGTCGACTGCTGCACTGTTTGTATTGTCGCCTTTTGTGTTTTTTACAAAATACGCACATATTGTACCGTCTAAACTCACACTCATAACTATTTTACGTTAAGTTTATAGTTTTTCCCACTGATTTTATACCTATTTTGCCTTCGTTTTCTTCACTACGCTTTTGGCGCGTACTACTTATCCGTTTGTTGTTGCCGTCTTTGAAATTGCACTGGCAGCACTTGGCGCTATCAGTCTGGCAGCATTAAATTGCATCCCGCTACATATCGGTAGCTGCCTATCGTTATCGTAACTGCAAATTGCACCAGCCTGGCAACAACGTAAAGGCCAAACAAGACGAAATATACAACGGGGGAATAAATTGTAAATTTTCGTGTGTCGAAGAGTTTTTTCATTTTTAATCTGGGCACAAAAATTGCCCATTTTTAAACAGGGCATAGTTTGCATACGCATATCTGTTGGCATACGCGAACAAACGTGTGACAGCCACTTGCAAGTGAAAGCTAATAGAAGTAAGCAACAACAACAATAACAGCAATGGGAAACTTTGTAAGCAGGCAAAATGCAGCTGTTGAGGAGGCGGATCAGAGTGCCAATCATGCCTATAAGTATCCACCGCGCATGGGAAATTTCTTTGGCAGCCACTTTATAATGGGCGGCGAGCGTTTTGACACGCCCCAGCCAGAATCGTACTTGTTTGGCGAAAATGCGGATTTAAATTTTTTAGGAAATAGACCGACGGCGTTTCCTTATCCACCACCACAGGCAAATGAGCCGACAAAGACACTTAAAAGTTTGGTCAACATACGCAAAGAATCGGTGCGTTTTGTGCGCGTGCCCAGTGACAAAAAATCGTCCAACAGCACTGGACAGGATTCCTCCGTGGGTCAAAGCATCGAGGAGGTCGATGGCAATGTGCTGTGCAGCTTGGGCGGCGGGGATGCTGACAGCGTGCCCCCTCCTTGCTCTTATAACATTGAGTTTACCTTCGATTCGGACGCCAAGTGCGCCATCACAATTTATTACTTTTGCACTGAGGATGTCAGTCCTAGTGGTGTGACTTTGGTGCCACGCGACGGCTTAACGTCGGAAACCTACCACTATGAGAAAGGCATCAATCAGTTCTTCTCACAGCCGTCTCATGTCTTCAATCCCCAATTAATACCAGAGGATGATTTCATCTATACGGCTTGCAAGGAACAGTATCCAGTGGCCATACACTGTGTGGTGGAGGAGGGCAATGAGGAGTGTCGGCAATCGCATACAACTATTTGCGTTATTGATCATCATCCGGAGACTAACAGTTACGTTCTGCGCGCCCTCAAGCAGAAAATATTTGTCGATGGGCTATGCTATCTACTTCAAGAGATCTATGGCATTGAGAACAAGGTGAGTGAGTCAGAATCAGAAAAGTTATGTTTACATTTTTAAATTTTTTACTGGGCAGGCGGTAAACAAGTCCTCTATAGATGAGGAAATCGATGATCATGGCAGTGAGTGCGTCATCTGTATGAGCGAGACACGCGATACGCTCATCTTGCCCTGCCGTCATCTTTGTTTGTGCAATTCATGCGCCGATTCGTTGCGCTATCAGGCCAACAATTGTCCGATTTGTCGCGCACCTTTCCGCGCCCTTCTGCAAATACGTGCTGTACAGAAGGGCATCAGCACCCATGTGCTTCACCAGAATACACCTACTTCAGGAGCAGGTGAGCCGGCACCCGTCGATGTGCCTCCAGGTTATGTGCCTGTCTCGCTAATTGAGGCACTCAATGGACCTCCTCAATACGTGGGACGTGCCAGGTAAGTGGCTAAAGCTGATTTAAAATATTAATAATGCTGCAACGTTACCATTCCCCGAATATGCTCACAGAAACAGCGACCATGACATTACAGATGGCGGTACGGTGGCCGCTTCAACCATGACCGGCGACAATAAGGCCACATCGCCCCTGAAGCCGAGCAGCCAACGCCGCCCGAAGATCAAGAAGAATGCCTCCACCTGCACGTCAACTAACGAGGTGGGCACCCTAACCAACAACAATGCGGGCAACACCACGGCCAGCGGCAATGGTAACTCCACACTGTCCGTTGTCGAAATTGAGAGCGATCCGAAAAAGTCAACGACTACAACGGCTACATCGCCCACATTAAGCGGCTCCCCAGTGAAGGGAGGAAGTGTTCAGGACAAACTACAGATTGTCAATGAACGCCACAGCGTGCTCAAATATCAGAAACGTGGAGAGAACACTACCGCCACGACCCAGGACGATGATGACGAGGATAGTGAAAATGAGAAACTATCGCCGTTGCTTTCGCCGGGCAGCAAATCGAAAACAACGTCAAGCAAATCTCTTAAGCAAGTGGTGGTCGCATTGGGTGGCGGTGGCGATGATGTGGCAGAACTACACGACCATGAGACTGTCGATACGACGCATGAGATGAGCGGCCGCAAGAGCGCGTCATTGAAGCGGACCACCAAACAACGACCCGAATTGTCGGGCACTAGTGGTGCTGCAAGTGCCGAGCCTGGTTCGTTGGCAGCTAATTTAAATGCCGAGGATTCGGACTATTATACGCCAGAGGATACACAGAATTCCATACTGAGTCCACTCTGTCCCGCAGAGCGTGCTAAAAGTGGCGACCCCTTGTGCAGTGGTGCTCGCAGTGGTACATTAAACACCAGCGGTGGCGCCGGTAGCGTTGTCGTGGGTTTCAGTAATGCAGCTAGCAATTTGGTGAAGAAGAACTTACACAAAAAGTCCACATCGGTGGGCAATATTGTGGGACCGGGCGGTGGCAACAGCGCCAGCACAGATCTTAAATGCAACAATGTGAGCTCATTGCCAGGTAAAAAGAATCAGCTTTTTCCGAAAAATAGATTATATCATCTATTGATTAATTATAGATATGCTGGACAGTCCAATTAGCGGAAATTCCGCATCCACGCGAAGCTCCAGCGACAGTTACTCGTCCAGTTCATCGACAAAGCAGCTTCTCAGCTCGAATCCAACAACAACTGCTGCCAATATTATTGTGGATGATAAGACGGCTCTGCAAAATGCGGTCAATGTGTGAGGTGGTCGGACGCTGGACCAATAGCGCAGTCGAACAAATCAGTTGAAAATGGTATAAATAATCGATGTATTAAATTGTAGTGCTTAATTTTAGTTAAATCAATGCTGCTTCCCCGCCCGCCCTCTGCCCTTCGAGCTACGAAACTAATGCGGAGATACACTTAAAATAATTCAGCCAGCCACTAATATTGAAACGTTAAGGATTTACATTCCACAGACAAACACACTGGTTGCGGTGTCAGTCGTCATGCGTTCAGGTAGCCTGGATGTTATTAATTTAATAGTCGAGTTGAAACTTTAGTTATTTTGAAAATATGAAAGTTTCTTTAATAAACGTACGATATTAGAATGTTAACGGCATTTCATAACAGCAAGCTATTGTTTGCCGCCGTCTTCAGTGTTATCGAGAACTGCATTTGACTGCATAGGTTAACAGATTCGTCGATAGCTTGTATATTATCGGTTGTGCACTCGATTGCTTCCCTCAATTTGCGTGCACGGCCTGCAATGCAGGTTTCGTTATGTTTGTGTCGCATTGTACATTGCAGGCATTTAATTTAATACTAAATAAACCCCAAATTAAAAAGTAGTTTAATGTTTGTTTATTTATTATTTAAACTTTTGTCGCTCGACAACTCTAACGATGAGAATTCTAAGTCAGCTGTGCTGCCGCACTTGCTTTATTATTGTTATTGTCCTCCAAGCAGTTATTTACAACATGATTTTCTTTTAATTCGCCTAACAAAGATAAGCAAGTAATCTGGGCACAGCATTTTAATAATTTCGTGAATTTCGTCAGAAAGACAAACCAGCGCCAGAAGTTCAATTGTATCGAGGATGGATTTTAGCAACGACACAACAATTAAGCCGGTACGCAAGATTCTCATTGCGGCCACGGGCAGCGTAGCCACCATTAAATTACCAGAACTGATTGCCGAATTAAACAATGAATGCCATCCGTTCAAATTTGAAGTAAGAACACTGAAGGTCACACGTTAATAAATTACTTAAAGTAATTGTCACCTACAGGTGAAAATTATGATAACTGAGCATACAAAGCACTTCTTTGAATTAGAGCTAATACCCGAAAATGTGCCTGTTTTGCACAATCGTGACGAGTGGATTAGCTGGAATAAACGCGGCGATCCCGTCCTACACATTGAGCTGGCTAAATGGGCGGATTTGCTCGTGATTGCTCCATTGAGTGCAAACTCGTTGGCCAAAATTGCCACCGTAAGTCGGAGCTGACGTAAATAATCTTATGCAAATACTACTTATCTAAAGCATTTTTTCACATAAAAAGGGCCACTGCGACAACCTCGTCACATGTGTGGTGCGCGCTTGGAACTTACGAAAGCCATTACTTTTTGCTCCGGCTATGAATACTCGCATGTATGATCATCCTATAACGCGTGAGCATATTGACACTTTGGTTTCGTGGGGTTATAAGGAGATACCAGTCATTTGCAAGACCCTAATGTGCGGCGATACCGGCAATGGAGCTATGGCTCAAGTTTCGACAATTGTATCAGCAGTTGTGGCATCTTGCGGAACAACCGACGTAATTCCAGACATTAATTAAATGTATATATGTATGTTAGATAATTGGGTTGTTTTTTTTTATGCAAAACAAATTAACGGCAAGGTGCAAGTTTGCGCGCTAACGAATAAAAGGTGTGACCACAATATTTTGTGTTCTCATATGAAACAGGTAGGTTCGTGCACATTGTAATTTCATTAGAAGGCGCTTTTTGGTATTTTTATTTACTAATGTGCAGTGTGGTCACACTTGGCTCACTAGAGGTCACATTTAAGCAACGTTTGTTTACTTTCGCAAAAGTTAACAATTTCTTATAAAGTGAAAGGATTGAAACGGATTTAGCAGCGCTTGGAAGGCCAATTGGGTGCAGGTGCAGGAGAAGCGCATAACGTAGGCGAGAAGGTATGTTGAGCATGCGGCGACATGAAGGAGTAAAAGCTTGCAACATTTTCTTGCGAAGCCTCAATGTGCGTGTTTTTTTTTCATGTTGTATGCCGACACTGTAATTGATTTTTCGGTCAACGGTGCGCGCTCAAATGCATTATTTATTAAAACTCGGTGTACAGGCACAAGTGCGTGACCAATGAAATCCATGTCTTTGGAAATCGCGCTGTTTCTTGTTGGTACAAATTTCTTTTTATTGCAAATTTCAATAAAAAAAAAGAGCAAAAAACGTTTTTTTTTCAGATGTATGTATGTACTTACATTAGTACTAGTATTGCTATCATTATTCCATATTTTACATACATATGTACTTATAACTTACACATTAGCATTGTACATGCACAATAATTTAGCTAATATAAATTGTGACTGGTCGCCGAATTGGAAATTAGACGTCCAGTTCACAACAAACAAATTCGACTAAAATTTTGGTAAAAACAGAAATTTACACTAAAACATGCTTTTTGGATAAACAATTGGGCTGAGGGGCTGCAGTTAGTTATTAGTTGTCGTTGTCATTGTGTTGAAAGTGGGAATTGCTGTGTTAGTGTGTTTGTCCTTGTCTATGAGGGAGATAAGATGGTAGGGCTGCAACCACCGAATCACTTCATTTGTGTGCGTGACTTGCGCTTCTTCAGTTTCGTCTTCACCTTACGTACCAGACTAACCGTCTCCAGCGTCATGTCCGTTGCCGGTTTGGTTATTTGGGCCATATTGGTACGATATTGGAGCATGTTGGCCGCAGCAGCTGCCGCCACTGCACTTGCGCTTTTTAGCTGCGGATTTCCGTTGTTGCGCAACTTCCGATTTGCTCCTGTGGAGCTCTGCTGGACGGCCGTTATGACGAGACCGCCAGTCTTGAACTTGCTGGGGCCGCGACCGCCGCGGGACTGCTGTTGTTGTTGGTACAATTGCGCCTGTTGTTGCTGAGAAGCGTAGGGGTTGGGAGCGTTGGCTGAGTGCATCCTTCCATTGGAGGAACCCTTGTAGATCATACGCTGCGTCAGCGGCAGCTGCTGCCCTTGCTGTTGATGCATTGTGGTGCCGGCTGAGACAATGGTGTTGCTTCCGCCTCCTCGAGTGCGTGCAAAGCGGGTGACGAATTGCGTTGTCTCTGCAATTTTCATCATGTTGGACTTTCGTTTGCTTTTTCCATGTGGATGGTTAGAGTCGAAGATCATTTTGACGCCATTGCCCATCCCCTTTTTGGCGCCGACCTGTGGCCTATAGTTGCGGGTGCTTGCCTGTTGTTCTGGTTGCTGTTCCTCAAGTCTGCTATTGCCACCAACAAGGCGGACAGGTTGCTGCTTTTTGTGCTCCCCCTGCTGCCAAAGCAACAGTTTCTGAGAGCAGGCACTGGTAGAAGAAAACATAATGGACCAATTAAGCGACTTGAATAGGAATTTGAATCATCGATTGAAATCATACTTAAGCAGATCCACCTGTTCCAGTTTCTTGGACTTGCGTCCTGCGCCCAAATAGGCGGGCGGAGGAGTTGGCCCCGCCGCTGTTGTTATAGTCGTTGGCGTCCCTCCGGGTCCTAAGGGCATTTCTCTGGCCGTTGGCTGGTTGGCGTACATTAGACGTACACCAGAAGCGGCGGCACCAGTGACGCCACCGCCGCCGCCCGCACTACGCATAGCCGCCGCAGCTGTAGCCATAGCATTGGCTGTCTGTGCATTGCTGCCCTTGTACCAGTTACCCAGAGGACGTCCGTCGCTTTCACTACCACGTGCCCCCGTCCAGATTTTCTTTTTAAGCGACAGCTTCATTTGCAACTCATCCGCTGTGCTCGCCTGATTTTGTTTTTGGGGAATAAAGTTGCTCGGCACGGTGCTGAAATTAAATTTTTGGGATTAAAATTATTATACAATTTAAAATACCACAAAACATTCCCAATTTTTGAATCTCATTTATATAGTAGCTTTCAATTTATATATCTATAATCCTCAAAAAACAACAAAGCTCACTTGTTATTCTGAATCCATAAAATTAAATGAATTATATATGTATTGTTTCTCAGCTTATTTTTTATATTATTTTGAAAGAAAAGTCTTTGAAATCGCATTTTAGTTAGACTTTAGGGCCTTATTAATTTGTATTTAAAGACAAATTTTTAATTTTATCTGTTGGATTTATGTTAAAAATGTAATTAAAATTTTGCTGGCACATATATTTTATACCCTGTACCCAAAGGGTTAAAGGATATACTAGGTTAGTGCGAATGTATGTAACACATAGAAGGAGGCGTGGCAGACCCCTAAAAGTATATATATTATTGATCAGCATGACAAGACAAGTCGATCCAGCCCTGTCTGCCTGTCTGTCCGTATGAACAGCTGGATCTCAGAGACTATAAGAGCTAGAGACACCAAATTTTGCACAAAGATGCCTTATGTGTGTACGCTGTGCAAGTTTGTTTTATTTTTTGATTTTCTTAATTTTGTTTAATGTCTTTAATTGTTCTACACTAATGTACAGAGTATTTCAAAGTCGGGACACCAAATTTAGCTTCTCCACTTGTTTTTAAGTTTTCTGTGCCGCCTCGTTTTTATTGAGATATTATTATTATTGTTTTTTTTTTTGTGTGTGTAGAAAACCCTGAAATAGCTATTCACTCACCGTTTTGGCGTCGCTTTTGCAGTCTTTATGTGCGACTTTCCTTCGCCCAAAAACTGGCTTACATAGTAGGGGGTTTTCGTATTAGTCTGAGCAGTCTCTTGATTAAGATTATGCCAGGAGTAGGTGCGTCGAGATCCGCTGCCAACGCCCTTGCCGCCGGTCACCACGGAACAATAGTAGTCCTGTTCAGGGGCTGTACGAGGCGTCAGCTTATACACATCCAACTTTTTGCCACTCTTCGAGGGTGTGGTTACAATTAGCTCTGGCGGCATGGGCGCCGGCTTCGGCTTTTGCACAACCATGTCGCCAATTTCCTCAATGTATCGACGCTGTAGATCGCTCTGAAGCAAGGTGTGTCGTAACGGTGGCACGGCACCAAAGATGGTGTTGCCCGCTGGCGCGTGCTCCTCATCGTCCGTAGAGAAATGCAGATCAGAGCCGGGATCGGTTGTGGGAAGGTCAAGAGTGGTGCGCACCAGCTCGGCACGATTCTTCTTTGGTGGCTTCGGCCGTGCACGCGTACGCTTATTCTAGTTTGTAAAAGGAAGTATGTGAGTGGTGTGTTGGTGGATTGATTGTTTTTTTTGTGTTGTAGTGCAGATAGGTGCTAAATGTTCTACCTTCTTGCGCCGGCATATGTATATCTTTCGATTTGCCAACCAGAAGCGGAAGTTTCGATCGATCCGCAATTTCCTTGGCGGCTTAGGTTTCCCTTTTTCCGTGGGCAGGAACTTTTTCTTTTTTGCTTTCTTCGCAGTGCCGCCGCTGCCGCCGCCGCCGCCTTTTAGACGATGCTTAACAGCCTTAACTTCTGCCGGCACTACCACGGCCTCCTCGATCGAGTGCGATGATGGAGAGCTACCTTCAGAGCTTTCCGAGCTGCCTTCAAGCGAATTCTTCATATCGCAAATACGAGCGGCTGCTGGTGGTTTCTGCAAATGCTGCTGCTTGATATTGAGCTTGCGGGTTCTTTTGTTTAGCTGAGTGGCGGAACGAATCTCTTGTACGTCGGCATTCGCATTGGGAACTAGTGGGGCATTACTGCCACGTAATCGCTTACTGGACTTAGAGCCCAGCTTGTTGCGTCGCCGCTTGATTTTCGCTAGTGCCTTGAATTTGCGTTGGAACAGGGGCGTAAAGTAGATGCGATCCAGTTCGTGCATTACCTTTCGCATGCGCCTCATACGGAACTGCATGGGCTCGTTGGAGGGAGGTGCGTGAGGGGTCTGTCGTAAGCCGTGCATTACTCTACATTTCTGAGCTAGAGTTGCGTGCGGTCTAGCTCAAAGACTCGGCTCAGGGATCAGTGATCGAACTCAGTATTCAAATTTAAAAACAAATTTTGAAAAATTGTATTGTTTTAAATACTTGATCACTGATTCCTTAACCTAATCGAGCAGAACCGACGAAACCTAAGCTTGATTTATTTTTCTTACCTTGCGTAGCTCGTGAAGAATCTCCGGTGAGCTGGGCGGAGCACGCGTGGGTGCACAGCACGGACCCTCCAGATCCGAGGCCGTTATAGAATGCTTACCCTCATTGTCGGAGCTCGAGCTGCAGTTGCCATCATCGCTGATTGATTGCGGAGCGGTAGTGGGACAAGTTAAATAGCATTAGATTAGTATTGTTAGTTGGGAAAGATAGCTGTTTTGGGGTCTCTACCTGGAGTAATCCGACAGTGGAATGTTGAGTGGCTCATCGGCGCTTGATCCCTCGCGCATCAGTCTTTCTATAATCTTTGTGCGGAGTCTTTCCTGTTGTTTAAGTAAATTTAAAATCTACAGTTGACATTAGTGTTTTAGAATTAGTTAAAATCATAGGGGCAAAGAAAAATATAATAACAAGTATAATAAAAGGAAAGCGGAAGTTCTGCTTCAACTAATGGTGCTGTGTTCACAGAGAGGGTGGTATTTGGGATGTTTGGGATTGCGTGTAAAAAGCAAATTATAGCAATAATACGAATACATTAGCAACTACCACTAAATATTTCGGTTACTCCCTCTTTGGCAAAGTGTTTTATTCAACTTTCTTTACAGATAATGCTACATTAACAACAAATTTTCGATAGAAACTAAGATAGCATTATATAGTACATCATCAATATGTTTAATCTAAGTGCTGTGCGGTGTGTGCTTTTTTGTGTTTTTTCTTTCTTTCTAAGACTAAACATTGTATTGGATACATAGATATTAAATATACTACATACTATGGGTTCATTGCAGGTATATGCTATAATCGATTTCATATACGAACAAGTGTTTTCAAAAAAATTAGAAAAACAAGCGATACGCGCAAATAGACAGCATTCAAATTAATTTTTGTGTTTTCAAAACTATCGCAACCTTGACTCTATACGGGGATTATTCCTGGCCGATGCGGACGTGAGCGCGAACGCCTTTTGCATTTGGATACAAGTTTAGAAAGATAAGTGGAGATAAGCCACACAATAAACACGAACGAAGGAACAAACAGACGAACAATTAACTGATCAATATAGTACATTTAAAAGGCAACATTACGAGTATTACAACAGAAAGCGTTAAGCGACAGTAGTGTTTGATACATATGGTATTTTTGAGTGTTTGCGGATCTGTTTCTGTATCTTTATCCATTTACGAGGCATAGGCGAAACTACTACGATTAAATAGACAATTAACGAATCTTTCGGTGGATGAATTATTTCGAACATGAAGTCACTGCCTATGCCTAGTAACCATGTTTGTAGTTTATGTATAGGAAGGGTATGTCTTTGCGTGTTGCTAACGAAGACCTTCCTAGGAGACACTTTTCTCCACAGAACGTTTCACTTTCAGTTTCTCATTTATTATACATCCCTGATCGGCCATTTTCTGTAATTTCAATGCTTTCTGTTCGCGTTTCTCGCGTTTTCTTATCTTTTTGATTTGCTTAAATAATTTGGCGTGTCGCTTTACTTTGTTCGGATTCTCATCACAGTAGTCCAACAAGGTTTCACAAAATGCGCGACCCATATGTTCATAATCCTGTAAATAAAATGTTTCAAATTGTGAGCTCAACTTCGTTAACGTAAATCAGTGGAAATGAGCGTTTCTTACCTGCGTATTAAAATGTGTGCCCTTGCGTGACCCCAGCGAGGAGCCTCCAAAGGATGCTTCAATCGTATAGCTATTGGTAATACCCAACATCCAAACGACAATACGTCCAGTGCCCTCTTTGCTGCGCTGTATTCTGAACTTGCAGCTCTCAAATGAGAACTAAATAGAAAAATAGAACAAGTTTTAGCAGAATTTAAGCATATTCTCTAGCTATTGGGAGAAAGTTATTACTTCGGACTAGATTGGGGAATATACAAAAGTTCAGGAATTTTACAGAAGTGGAAATGGTCTTTTGTGATTCTACAAAGCTTTTCCCAAAGTCATGAAGGTAGTTATCCCTACGAGAACAATAACGTGAACACTTTTTTCTAAAACCATTGCTTGCACTTATTGCAGAGCTAGGAAAGAAAGAGACTTTACAGACAACCAACAACCAGGTAACGAGAACAGATTTCCCGAAATTCGATGGAGAATATCGAGAGGATAGCCAATTAACATTAATGGAGGACCCCTTAATGTCGTTATCGACATTTCCGCTTTTGCAGCTTGAATAATAACCAAGCTGAACTGGTTTCTCTTCCCATATCTTAATGAAACCCCATTGTATTACGCAAATTTCAAATCGGCGAGCGTTCGACTACCATTACTAGAGTATGATATTCTTCGTGGGTAGGTTATTTGTTAGGAACTCATTGAGACTTACCCTATCGGCGCTATTCTTGTGCAGCATCAACGGAAACACTTGCTCTGTTAATTTCTTCTCCGGATTACGTTTATTCTCACAGCCATATATAAATATGTTGTGCCTGCGTGAGTGTGCGTGCATATCACAGTACATGGCCACACCGCATTCCTCAATCAGTCTGTGTGGCGATTTTAGGTCAGGCAATGATGTCACGGGGAATGATGTTTCCCTAACTCACCTTCTAATCATGGCTTTTGTATACCATATGGATGGATAGGTTTCGCGTATTACCGTCCGATACTGACGATTTAGATCCTTGCCTGTCAGCGAGTTGCGGGTGTTGCCGACAATAACGCCATCGGGATTCAGCATCGGCACTAGCTTAAATATGAACTTGTGGCGCAATCGCTTGGCCACTGTAGTGTCGCCAGTTATGAAGTCCATCAGGCCCTTCATCATCCACGATGCAGGCGTCTCGCTGGGATGCACACGTGCCGATACCACAATGGCTTTTTTGCGCTGTCAATGTCTCGGGTAATTTAGCATGCGACCTTAAACACACGGACTCACCCGCATGTTCTCCTCATTGGCCGAGGGCGCCGTCACAGTCAGGTAGTAGACATTGTTGCCCGCCAGCGTTCGGCAGAGTAACCGAAGTTTGCAAAACTTCGATTTTACAGGATGACGTTGAATCTCCATAAGATAGTCCTTTAACGAAGAGACTTCAAACTCTATTCAGATGGCCAGCTATCGAACAACTTACCTGCAAGTCGCTGTATGTGTATGGATAGCTATGAGCAAAGTAGACCGTATCATCATCGTACTCGAACTCAATGGTAAATGTTAGCGTATAGCTAGAGTTATCCTCATCCTCCTCATTAGTATTGCTAGAGCTTCTGCAATGGCAAGCCGGTCGGTGGAATAAATATTTAATCAGAGATTGAATAAACATGGATGGAGTATTGTTAGTATTTTTCGAGATCGGTGGCGTAGTGGATAGCGCACGCGCACACCAAACAAGAGGTCGTGGGTTCGAGCCCCACTCATGGCGAGAACATGACCCGAATTTCCTCCTCTCGACAAACTCTAACCCTAAATACATTCCTCCAATGTCGTGGTCATTTAAAAACCACCAAAACACATCCATCCACGCTATTTGGACAGCACCAATAGTAACCCCCCCGGCGGCGACAGGTGCCAGCCCACCACTGGAATATGTCGCATCTGGCCAATCACCAGTTCGATTGACAATTCACTGATGACGGAAACTAATACAAGAGAAATGAATCCAAAAACGGATCCACCTCGATGACGTTCATAGGCATTTCAATACGGACAGGAACGAGGGAACTCTAAAGGAGCCATCCAGCCTAGCACAATTTGAATGGACCTGGCGACGGACCACTCTTCAGGAATTATCCCATAAGAACATCACATGGGATACGGCTACTCAGGCGGCCAGAAATAGAGTTAGATGGAAAGTACTTGTAGAAGCCCTAAGCTCCCAAATGGAGTAAATAGGAATAATACAAAAAAAGTAGATAGATATTGCTTAAGACTCACTCATCATCATTGCGATAATAGCAAATGTTGTCACCGCAGCGGCGCCAGCCTTCGTTTTTCTCCTTAGCACTAAGTGTCGAGTACATCACCGGCCTCATGCCATCGTTGTACAGGCTGTCCGATTTTACCAGATTGACAATCGAGAACCTAAGCGGGAAGGACAGATGGTTTAGAGAGTTACAAGAGCGTGCAGGACGGACTTACCTGTAGAGCATGTTGCGACGAGTACGGCGTACGCGAAAGTAGAACCACTGCTTGGAGCGGCTCGTGTAGAGATCGGGTCGCAAGTACAGCTCATAGTAGGTGGGCGTTATCTGCACCGCCTTGGCCAAATTGCCGGACTCGAAACGCGACTCGAATTCCAGGCCGTCGTACTCCTCGGCATTCATGGGATGGCAGTTGGTCACGAATTTGGCACCGCCCACTGCCGAGCGACTGAACTGCAATTGGGTATAATCAGAGCAGAGAGATTGAGATGTGGTGCTCTCATTGTTAGTCATGGATGATGTTAGGGTTGATGAGGTTGCAGTTTGCGTGCATTGATTTGAAAAGCGAGACGGCCGCTTTGGAATAGTGCTATGGCTTGTGCTTTTTCCTAAATTTCCCGCATTTCCCGAATTTCCTGGATTCACATCTGTTGTCTTTGCCATTTTAGCCCGATGGGCATTGGCTGCAGCAATCGTTGCTTGATGCGACGTTAATTTACGTCGGGGCGATGATGGAGCCACGGATGGTATCACCACCGCCGCTACTCCTTCTCCCGGTCCAGGCGCTGGACCACTCATTGGCAACACTCGACGTGGCGACCCAGCAGAAGTCACCGCCGTCGGCTTGCCATCGGTTTTCTTCGTTTCACCCCGTGCCTCAGCTGCGGGCGATTCTCTCTAGCAAACAAATCAATGCTTCCAGATATATACGCTTACCCCATCCTGTCGTTTCTATGGTACCCTCTTTCCCTACCAGCGTGTCCGTATCGGACACTGAACTGGAACTTGCACTTCGTTTTCTATCAGCACCACCAGTGAGACGCTTTTGCGCCTCTCCCACGGCATCTGAGTAGTCGTCCGTCTCCCCGTCCGAATCATCATCATCCGAATCGCTGTCCTCGTCACTGCTCTCATCGTCCGAGTCCCCACTGGAGGCACTGCTCTTGCTAGGCGTACCCACTAACGCAGCAGCGGCCGCCACTGCCTCGTCATAACGTTTACGAGCGCTCTGTTCGAATGCCACCTCCAAGCGGGCTATATTCTTTTTTGGCAATTTGATGGGCGTTACTGCGAATTTGCTTTGTACCTTGACTGAGCTGCTGGTGCCAGACCCATCATGATCGATGAACTTGTTAATGATGGCCTTAGAGACATCCTTGCCAAACTGACTTAAGACGTATTGGGGCGAAGCGGGCTTGTATTCCGTGCTATTGTTCTTCCAAATGTCCTCAATCTCGCTGGCATCCTTGCTGGCTGTCTTGCTGGTTGCCTTGCTAGCTGTCTTGTTGGACCCTTTTGACTTGTGTTCCCCATCCTGATTGGCAGAATCATATCGCTTTTTCTTGGCCTCAATCAGATCCTTAATCATAGCCTGCTCCCGTGACTTATTCTGAATGTTAATGGCATCACTATCGTCGTTGGTAGCATTGCTGTCGTAATCATCATCATCGTCATTGTCCTCATCCTGTGAGTTGCTGGTCGATCGATTGTCTACTTTGTTTATCATCTTGGACACTGAGTTCTTCAAGTGACCCTTGGATTTACCTCGCAGCGGCGTGCTGCAACTAGGAGGGGTCGACTCGTTGGGCGAGTCTGAGGAATCGTCTGACTCGTCGCTGGACTCGTCCGCCTTAGTCGTCTGCGTTTCCATTCCCTGTGTATGGGGGTCAGGTAGATTAGTGAGCACACGCTAAGAACGTGATGGATTAGTCACATGATTGCATGCGCATGCATGTTAGTTGATGAGAGCTCCTCAAAGTGTAGACCAGCACGCAAATTATTGCCTTTAAAGTAAATCTACTTGTATAGTAACTTGTAAACTGCGAGCTCAACGAACGATGCCGTTCGTGACTGCTTATTATATCACGCGCTGGGCCTGCCTCTAGTGGTTTTGCTTAAATTCTTTGCTTGCTTACGAGCTCAGCCAAATACTCACACAAATTCTATGGCTTACATCTTCGTGGTCTCTTTTCTTACAAAGTATAGTATTATGCACGAGTATCTTACGCTATTTGCTTTCTTATCCTTTCACGCCCAATCAAGCAATCTTCTTCCCGCACGTATAGTACGTAGGTGATGCTGACCTCCAGCCACCTGATACCCACCCCACCACTCCCAGTGCTTTGGTGCGTACATAAAGCGACTACCCACTACCTGCTGACCCACTGACTTCTGATATTTATAGATGGGGGGTATACTCACATAGTTTACAGCACTTATGGGACTATAGGTAAAGACAACAATGCCGTTCTCCTCGCCAACGGGTCGCGGCTTCAGCTCATTGCCTGTGGGTGTATTGAGAGGTTCTGGCTGGGCCGGCACGTACGGAATGTGTGTGATGCGCTCCTCGATGACCTGCAAAAGTTGAAGCACGAAATTGGATAAGTCATTAGATGACAGAAAGTATCGTAGTACAAAAGTAAAGCAACAAAAATAAACATTAGTCGAGGCGCACATGTTCGCCTGTTGGAAAATTCACATGCCCCTAGTTTCCGTCCCTGGCCAAGGAAATGCGCAAATGGCAGAGAGCAGTTAGTTCCCCAGGGCTGCTATTGTTCAATGGCTTTGATGTCGTCGCCACATTTGTTGTTGAGGGCGGCACAGCTTGCGTTGCCTTTGATATGATTTCTCGCACATGTGCGGCGGCAGTGGCGAACAACAACAACGACGAAAACAAATAAAAAAAAAGTGCACAGCATTATAAGCATGCAAATCTGATTACAGGTACACTCAGCGAAAATGAATAAAATATATAAAGCACGTTTCTCAAGTTCGAACTATTCATACCAAGATTGAATTTTTAAATTAAAAAGAGCTTCTATAAATGACTTCGTCCATTTCTGCCAATTCGCCCACCATATATAGAAACTGTAAGTTCAAATTTCTTCAAAAAGGAATATCTATGTGGATATAGTTATATAGGAATTTATTTCTTGAGTATTGTTAAAGATAAGAGCAGAGCATTTCTAGGGAAGCTGAGAAAAGACCAGAAACTTTGTCAACATCTAAATACTGCAATCAGCAAGGGAAGCGGGGGAAGGGGAGGGAAAATAAAAAAATTATTTTAAGCTCGTATAGACTAGGGCCTAGGAGCGTCTGCATACGAAGTTTGGTTAATGTACGATCAACCGTTACCGAAATCCAGGCGTTCATCCAGACAGACGTACGGACATGTCTAGATCGATTTCTTCGAATAACTTCTTACAACTAACCGATTTAGATGAAATTTGAAACAAAAGTAGATTATTATATATATAAATTATGTGTGCAAAGCTTTTGAAATGTGGATGGTATTGACGAAATTCTGTATCGGGGGAAGCGGGGGAAAATTAAAAAAAATAAAATAAACTCGTCCTTTCTCGGACCTAGGAGAATCTGGATACCAACTTTGGTTGTTCCAGCTTTTATAGTTTCTGAGATCCGTGCGTTCATCCAGACAGACGGACGGACGGACGGACATGTCTAGATCGATTTCTCTCGTCGTGCTGATCAAGAACATATATACTTAATGGGGTCAGAGATGCTTCGTTCTGCCTGTTACATACTTTGCACAAACCTAATATACCCTTTTTGACCTACGGGTACAGGGTATAAAAAATGGCTTGTTTCTTGTATAAGGTATGTTTCAAAGTAAGCCGACCTTTCCAAATAGGACATTTTCTGTTGAGTAAGTAATTCGCCGATTAAGGGAAAGCGCTATTTTGATGTAGAAGCCATCCTGAAGAGCATACACGAGCTAAAACAATCGTTTGACATGCTTTTAGAACGTTCAAATCACTGCATTGGACTCCAGATGGGGACTAATATTTTGCATCAAATAAAAGCTTCTTGTTTAAATCAGAATCGACATACTAAAAATATTCCGATTTTTGTTGCATGTTTTAAGTTTTTTTTTTGGTATTTCAAAAGTAATAAGCGATATGAATGGAATTAGAAATGGTTCATTCTTTGAAGCAGAGTTGGTTCTGATTTTTATTTGAAGGAGGGCTGTGCGACTTTTTCCCGCCATCAATTGATACCCTTTCTAATTAGACTCAGATGGGCGCACAAAATATTATTCTTAGTGTAAATTACTGCGTACAACTTAATTGAAACATATCAGCATTCATTTCACCGCCTGTTCTTTCTTCTCTCCCACTCTGTGCCTTTCTCAACAGCCGCCCTCGCACCCCAGCATTGTTCCTCATTCGTTTCTTGTGGCATGTGTGGATGTGTGTGTTGCGAGTGTGTGTGCCAAAGGTTGCCTTAAAACTCAACCAACACACATACAAACACGTGGGCGCCATTTTATTTATGTTTGCACATGCGTGTGTGTATGCGTGTGTGTATGTGTTATCAAATGAAAGTTGCCGCTGCCGTCGACGCCGGGCCAACTAATTAGCTTGTTTGTTTGCCTGCCAGCCTGCCTGCCTGACTTCGTTGCTTAATGCGCTTGGTAATGAAATTTTGCAAAAGTTTTTGCGCCTTTGCCGCTGCCATTGTCAGTGTCATTGCTACAGTAACAAAAGTACCAAGAACAATAACAATAACAATAACAGACATTACAAGACTGAGTCCAACAACAACAACATAAAATAAAAAATATTACATTAGCAAGCAGCACCTTTGCGCAACATGGTGGTCGTGATTTTTACGGCTAAGTTGATTTATGTACGCTCCGTAGGCAATTGCAAAATTAACTTTTTTGCTTCAAATTCTTGTTTATATGTTTTGTACAATACTTGGCCAATGCGTCGTATGAGTAATGTCTGCAGTTCAAAAATAAAACTAATGTTTGATTCACATTGTTTCATATTTAATTTCATTCTAGTTGTCGAAACTTCTTTGGTGTGTTTATATGCAAGACCGGAAAGGTTAAAGGGGAATGCAATAGAACGACGGCCACAAATGCGGTAAGTATTATAAAGATCGGGGAAAAAAAGTCTGTTCTTCTAGACTTTTTGAATAGACACAAGCTAGAGGGGTTAAAAAAACATACCAAAGTATTCAAGAAACTAAAGCATATTTGATTTAGTTTGTATAACGATAAGACTGTTCTACGAGGACTATAAATTAAGAACACAGAATAAAATAATTTATTAAACTTTAGAAATAAAAAGCTTAAATTAAAATAAGCAGAACGATTATTTTTAATAAAATAAACATATGGATTAAAGGCTTGTATAATTTATTACTTTGAAAGCATTACTTTTATATGTTTATTGATGATCATTTCATTTATAATTGTATTCGCTCCAGTATTATACACATAATATAAATTAATTTAATAATCTAAATCCTTTTTTCCTTTATAGTATAAGACGTGGCTATGAACCCCTCTTAAGCCATTTTTAAACCAGTTTACAATGTTCTTGCTTTTCAAAAATCGTTCTAAATTAATATTTACAGCCAATATGAGACTTTACACAGAAATTTGAACTTTTAATCCGTGATTAAATCACTTTTGACGTCATATGTACATTCTGTGTTCTGAGAAACTGTTGATAATAATTTCAAGTAATAATGTAGGCGGTACTTAAATAGTAAATTTACATCACGCCAAATATTTTCATGACCAAGAATAGCTGGGCAGTAAAATATTTCTGAAAAAAAAAAAACAAAAGAAAAGCCTGTCAGAAAATGCCTTCAATGCACACTTCATTGCACACTTTCTTTGGCTCAAACTGTTGTCTGAAAGTTAAAAGGGCAAGGATAAATGTGCTTTTATGAAATTGCAACCTCTTCAAATGGCCTTCACTATGTTGCCCCTCTCTCCGCCTATACTCGTACGCATGCCATTTGTAAAGCGCCATTTATCTTTTTTATTTCTTCAAGAAGCTGTCAATATAAAGTACCAACATCTCCTACTAGCTTCCCCTTCTTGCCCGTCTCAGGCAAATCCCTGAGACCATCCTCGCACATCAGTCGATGGGCCACTTATCACAGGCAAACCGAAAAATGCTTTTACCAGAGGCAGCAGCAGCAGCCAATTTGTCTCAGTGGCCCGTGTTGCTCGCCCACCCCGCCACCCCGCCACTTCGATCCCCTACCTTCCACGCTACTTGTACAGCGTGGCGTATGTGTAATATTTGCTTTTACATGAATTGGCAACGGGTGCCGCCGCAATGGCAACAAATTAAACAAATCAAAAGCCAAAAATCAACACACATTCACCAAATCAATTTCAGTTCGGCTAAGTGCAAAACAATGCAAAACAATTTGGCCAACAATTAGGCAGAAATTGTTCATGTTTTGTGGCATGAAATGCGGAACACTTTTCGGCAATTTGTAGTTGTGGTGGCCGTTAAGGTTAAAGGCTATATTGCTGCTTTTCATTTTATTTGTTTTGTTTTTATTTTATTTCTCCCTCTTCCTCTTCTTTATTTTATTTTAGACACATATTTACTATTTGCAGCCTTTTGGCGGCTAACGGCGCTCTTTGGCCTATTTATGCTTTGCCAATCTGCACGCATGCCGTGGGTTAAGACAAGCATGGCGTACTACACGCACACACACACACACACACGCACACCCTCCATCCATCCCGCTTACATATGCAGAGATTAAAGGCGGCGGCAACAACATTGTGCACCTTTTAATACCCCAATTTGACCCAGATAAGTGCGCTAGCGACGTGCCCCCCGTGTCCCTCCTCTGCCAGTACCTCACATTTTACTATTCCATGCACACCCACACAACCACACACCTACATACATACATATACACACACCGCACACAGACACCCGTTTATACACACCAGACGCTTTAAAGCGCAGCGAGCTGTCGTTTATGTGCGTTAATATTTATGAGACACGCACATCTTGACTCTCGGCAACGTGTCGTATGCGCAATGTGTGGAAAAATCATCTTGCCTTCTGCCCTTCTGCCCAATTGATATCCATCCATAGTTTATGTGATAGAATTCCCGACTTTCTAAATTGTACAATTTTTGAAATCACAATTCTTAATAAAAGAACAAATGTTGTATCCATATTATGTTTATTTCTCTTTTCTGTTTAATTCAAATTTTCTCTGAGGCAATTTTCCACTTAATAATTAATGCAACAAATGTGCACGTTTCTAGAAATGAGCTAAGTAATTTACATTTTTGTGTGGAAAGACTGCTAGAAGAAACTATCAAAATGGAGAAAAAACAATACCAATCAATTGTTCGAATATTCACTTCATTACAAAATCAAGCTGAAGCTATGGAAATCAAAAGTGAAACCTATCATATTATTTATTCATCTTTATTATTATGTATTAGATTTTGTTGCCGAAATGAAAGTGTAGAGTGTTTAGGTTGAGGTGTTAGAATGAAAATTCATAAATAGCGTAAGCCATATAGATATTCTTTAAACAGCTGACAAACAATTCGAAAATTGGAAACTCAGAAAATCGGATTATGGAGCAATCCCTAACTATCATACACGTATATAATATTTTGTATTTATTTGTTCATACGCCTATGATTACGCATCAAAATTAGATCGAGAGCTTTTGTGGAAGACATACCATATTTCTCAAACAAATGTATAATAAATAAACTTACCTGACATTCGATGGGCCATCTGGGGGCCTGCTGTGAGCAGTCATTGTCCTTGTCTTTCGGCAGGGCGAAGAGATCGCGCGGTTCCTTCAAGCGTGCAATCGGACGCAAAGTTTTCTCATCCGTATTAACAACTAATTGATTAGTTTTCAGCCCTTTTGATAGAAAAGTGCCAAGGAAACCTGCAGAAATAAAGAAAATACAAGTATTTAAGAATTTGGTTTATTTTGAAATGAAATGATTCCTAATATTGCCACTGACACATAAATATAAAATATAAATAAATATAAATATAATAAATATATTATATTTACATACTATATTATTAGTATGTATGGAGAAGAAAGGTTCTTAACATTTCTTAGTTGTCAAAATTTGTGGACTTGTCAGGTCACAGATGGTTAATCTGCTTGGTCCATCATCGGCTACACGTTAAACAAAGGATTCCTTTGGGTCTTAGCTCGCATACAAAATAACGAACGTAGGCGAATTATCATTAATATGGCCAAGAAAAGTAATTTTGTGCGCCCGTTCAGCGACGATCGCCACAAAAACGTCAACAAAAATTAATTACTGTGTGTGGGTGAAATGCCTGCCTAGCTACATAAATATACCAACAAAAAAAAAAAACAATTGTACATATACATATATATGTGTGTGTGTTAATGTTTTGAAATGTTTTTATATGCACTCTAAGAAAAACGCACAAATTTCAAAAGCACAGTCCAATGTTTAATTATTTATTAAGTCGACAAATATAGGCTGTCGAGCTGTGGGAAAAATCACTAGAAAAGAAAGCCTCTAGGCTAACAAATAAGACGAAATCTAGAGATATGTGTTTAATAGCAACATCGATTTGTATATTTATAATAAGTGTAGCCATCTATGCCCTACATGATGTTGTTAGATCGAATTTGAATAAATGTTTAAAAACATCGAGGAATCGCGGATCAGGTTATAGGTGATCAAAACAGATAGAAAATGTGTTCGTAATTTAAACAAAACACCTAAAGTTATGTATCTGCTCAAAAGTAAATACAAACTCTTTTGTGGGCAAAGGAAATCTATATCGCTGTCAATTAACTTTGGAAGAAATACCAAGGATAGTAATATTTTCGAGTTGAAGTACAATTTGGCATTTAAAATATTATAAGATTTATGCCATCCTTCGTAATGTCTGCGATATTGAAGACATATTGAGACTTTATTTGCTTTTAAATAGTTTTCAAAGGCCAGCAAGATAAATAACAATAAACAATTTATTGCAATTGTGCTGACTCATTAAATATTTTTGATTTCTTTTTCATACATTTATTTATTTATATGTACACCATTTCATAGTAGTCGTACAGCCAGCACTGACAATTTAAAGCAACTAAAATGATGCTTGTAAAATATATTGAAACAACATGTAAACTGAACTCCCAAGAGCTTTTTGCTGGAAACCCATTTTGAGTTATCTATAGAAAGTTTTAGAAAAACGCCTTTTTTGAGTGTATCTGAGCCCATTTCATTTGGTCTGGGGACGTGCGCCGGCTGCTGCAGTCAATTCAAGTAACGCACATTTATACGAAAGTATAAATTCTGTTAATTAATTTCTTTTTTCACTTCTTGTGCGTTTTGTTCTTACGCTTTTATTAGCACATAAAAGCAGCCCGTCTTTTATTGCATTTTTCTATGAGCTGGAGCGCCCGCGTCTGCCTGTCTGCCTGCCTGTCTGTCTGTCTGCCTCGTTGACTGCTAATGTGGGTCGTCGGTTGCCATTAGGTGAATGCGACGGCATCTCCAACTTAGAGACAGAACGACAGGTTATATACTTGGCCAACTTATGGGCACTTGTTGGCATGAAAATGCCGTTTGACGGTGCTTAGTTTTTGGTAGACTGCTGGTTTTTTGTTTTTTCAGTGATGGGTTTTGAGGGGGGTATGGCTAATGACTAGACAATGACTAGTTCAGGGGAATTTAGTTTGAAAGCAAAACATTTAACTTAACTCATTTAATAATATTGTACAAACAGCAGAGTTATTGATTTTAGAAAATAACAAATTTGTATTAAAAAGTGTCACTGGAAATGAAATGAAATTGTTTGCTAAGCATTGAAAATAGAAAATTTTTAAGTGCGCCGATTTTTATGTGAATTTCAAAAATGTGAAATCTCATTTCCTATCAAACCGAACAATTTCAACTTCATTTGGGCAAAAAACTAGCGTATTCTATCGATTAACCGTCAAGTTAAGGAAAACTTTTTGGCGGTCATGAAATGCAAATTAAGTCTCTGGCGTATTTTGTAAATTTCTATTAAATGGCAAGGCAACAAGTTTGACAGCACCTTTATAGATGTTGCTGGTCGGTTTCATTTTCTATTTAAACACCAAATGCATTTTCAGTTTCTCAGATAAGAGATGATTTGCCAGCTAATTGGTTTCAGGTTCAAGTAAATATGCATTTAAAAGGATAGTTAAAGGTAATACAATTCAACAAAACTAACGAGTTACATTTTATAGATTTTTGTAAATTAATTTCAAATTGGTTGACTAAAAGGTATATTTTTGTTTCCATTGCCGAAAACTAACAATTATGATCGCTTTACAAGTATTATTCTAATTCTATCTTACGAGCCACAGTATCAAAAGATTGTAAATATCTGTTAGGAAACTTTTTAAATATAGACGAAACGAAAGCAACTCATACTCGTAAATAGAAAACCAAACTTCTTCTTTAAATTTCAATAGTTATTGAAGATTTATATATTATTGTAGATTATGTATGTAGATCGCTCAGCGGAAATGTTCGATGTAGAATATCTATTTCGATTTCCACAGTATTTTGTTTATTGACAAAGCTGTCTTTTGATTTGTTAATAGAGATTTGTACTTGGAATTGCAAGTGTTTCGACAAAGTGTGTTTCTTTGCTGATTTTTGGAGGGGTGGAGGGGTTTGGATCTCACATATCCCAGCTGCTGGCCATATGTTTCTCTGCACTTTGCTTACCGGCTAGTTTTGATTAGCTGCTAAAACTGAAGGCACAGCTGTTGGTGATTTGATTTTGTATAGCTGTATATTATTTGGCAGTTTGCTATTTATGAGTCAGCACTTTAAGAAACAAACAAAAAACAAAACACGAGAATTAAATTGAAAATAAAATTCCAATTAAACGCGACGGCTAACAAAATTCAAATATGATTTGATTTGAAGAGCTCTCGATGGCGATTTCGAGTGAGGGCGATCAGAGGGCGTTGTACACAGTATAATCCGAGCGATTCAACTGATGAGCTATAGGCATAGATCATAAATATATAGCTAAATAAAGGTGCACATATATTATACACATTTATGAATCTACGAGTATATGCATATATCCGCGAGATTTGGTCAAAATAAAAACAAAACTTATCACAAATTTGTGAGCAACTTTGGCGCCAGCACAAAAACGCGTCGTTTATATTGTTGCTGTTGCTGTTTAGTTGTTGTTTTTATAATAGTAGTGTTGTTGTTCTTGGCCGTCGTTGTCGCCGTCGTTGCTGTTGCGCGTTTTGTTGTTGACTAAAACGAAAACTCGAGCGAACATTGAATCTTCCTTCAGTGATTGTGACGCTTTGAAGCGACGCTAGCGACAGCGGCGGCCACGGCGACGCTAACGCTGACGACGCTGGCTGAGGATGCGACTCTGACTGTGGCTGCGACTGCGACGGCGAATGTGAGTGTGAATGTGCGTGCAGTCTTCCAAACGCCAAGAAAAGCGAGACGCAGGCATCGGCATCAGCAGCAGTGGCAGTGGCAGCGCCAGCGCCAGCGAATATTATTTAATAGCAACAACTACCAACACATACACGAAACGGCGCACACGAAGCAAAAATGAGCAAGAGCTTTCACTGTGCACTTTCGCTGGTGTAAGCTCTGCGAAAGCTTTAGCGAACGCTACATTCGCAGCAACACTCAAAAGTAGCAACAACAACAGCACCAGCTTTATCCTGCGTAGGCGTTGTAGCTGGTGGTAAGCTTTATAGCTGTGTGGAAGTGATAAGAGCGGGAAGATGGACAGTAGCCATTGAGTTCCACGCCATCGGAGGTCGCCATTATACATAAGAGTGTTTCTCTAGTATCTAGAGAAATATTGGAACATCGCTGACTTTCCAATGCGCTTCCAAATACTAAAAACCTTTAAATTGCAGCGCAAATTAAAGAGTCCTTTCAAAATTTGGCAAGAACATTTTTAACATACTCGTACATTTATTGAATACGTTTATCGTAAAGAATATACAAGTACTCTTTAATAGTATGCATTCATTTCTAAAAGAATCTTAAAAATAATTTACTACATTTTTCTGATCAATTTTCTTTCGACAATTTTGCTTTTTAGTGCATTTTTAGTGTTAAGAGAAGTATTAAGGATACTATACATTTTAAATGTTGCTGCATAATTCTTCAAAAGCTTCTCCCTGCACCTATTACCTTTTGTACGTGAGACGAACACATTAAAAAGTGATAGGTTTCTTAAAAATTTATGATCATGTGGAATCGTAAATCAGTCTGATAAATCGCATGACTAGCCAAATTTTTGCCATAAATGTCAGACATTCCACTCGGCCATATTTCAGTGTTACAACTTATGAGCTATAAACATACAAATCTTCTCAATGCGATGACATTGACCTTGTACACGAAAACATATTGAAGGAAATGTATGTTTGATTCGGAAAATGGCGCCCTCCGGCCTCACTGTGCTTGTTCGACAGAATTGGCTGAGCTTTTTGGTTAAGTTTCCTTTAGCCGATGGGCGCCACTAATCGATATGACTGACTAAGCAAGCCGTTTAGTGCGCGCCTCGGTTTGGCAACTTTTGCTAAATTGCAATTCATTCATAAAAAGGCAATGGCATTAATGAAAAATCAACAGCATGAGAGCGATAAAAAGCTCAACACACACACACACTCTTTCTCTCTCTCCCTCTCTCTCCCTCTCTCTTTTAACCTTTCTATTGAGGTGCTAAACGTGTGTATTGTTGTTTTGTTTGCCTGTTTCGAATTGTTGCGCGAATGATGGGGCTATGGCGACGCCGACAGCAACAGCAACAGCGACTTGTGGCTTGTCAGTAGTAGAAGTAGTTGTTGTTGTGGTTGTTATTATTATTATTATTATGGTTGTTGCAGCCATTTGACCATAGGAATTTTGCATTAATTAAATGTTTATGGTCAAATGCAAGCGGCGCAGATCACAATCGGATCACATAAGCGGACACTGAATTTTGGCACTGCTCTTGAATCGATGGCATGATCATTTTAATTGCACATCAAGCGCGCTACAATTTTACTGAAATTGTACAAGAGTTAGGCGCGCGCCATTTGGCGATATAATATTTATGGCATTTTGTTTATCAGTTGGCAAACATTTGTGGCATTTATTTCCCTTTGTTTGCTACAAGAATTTTCTTTGCCACCAAGAATTTCTAGGCCACAAGGTTCAATGCATTTTTTCACTCTATAAATAGATATTTTGCCATATATGTATGTATATATACATTTTCTGAATGTTGCATGTATATATATGTACGTAGGTGTGTTTTGTTTGTTTTTCCAGATATTGCCATTTTACATTCAACAAGAATTAAAGAATTTTGTTTACAAACCAATTTGTTGCCAAGAAGAAAATAAATATAACATTTTATATGCGTACCATAATGACAGCAATATAAACGCTATGCCACATACAAATTTTATAGAATGTACCAAGTCTCTGTATGTATATTAAAAATTAATTATCATCAAGATATAGCAACATTTTAATTAAGGAATTATGACCTGTTGTGGATAGACGCAATTCTTTAAATAAAAATAAAAACAATAGATCACCCCTAGTACTGCGAGTAACAAGTTTTAACCAAGCCGTCGCTTACAAAAAGTCCAAATTTGTTTTTAAGATCATTTAGATCTTGAAACGTCTAAATTTTCAAATTTAGACAAATCTCACTCATAGAGATCTTGCAGCGCAGTTTTTTTTTTGCCCCATATTGAAAGTATATTTTTGTTAACATCAGCCTCAACTGTTTTGATACCCTGTATGCACAGTATGTAACAGGTAGAAGGAAGCCTATATATTGGACCACATATATTCTTATATTCCCAATCAGCATGACGTGACAAATTGATCTAGACACCTAGATTTTTGAGTCTATATTGATGAAACGTGATATGTAGGCTCTGCTAATGCGTAGACAATACAATTTTATTTTAGTTTTTGGATTTGCGCCCCTCTTCCCCCAGTACTGCCCACAAACTCCAAGCTACAAGTACATAAGCGAATCTGTCTGTACATCATTAGCATGTAGTTCTCTTTCTTTGGTTTAAATTTTGATCAAAACCGATCCATTCTTCGATAAGTGATTAGCTCTGCTATGTGCGCATAAAACACAGTGAAGTAAGATTTATTTTGGGTGCAGGGTATTTTACAGTCGTACTTGCTCATCTGTAACACTAGACCTTGTTTGTTACAGGCGTTTGAACTGCACCAAATTTATTTATTTAGCGTCAAGTGAAGACGTTATATGAAGCCTTCCTTTATGAAAAGCTGATCTGAGCGAATTAAAGTCTCCGGAAAATGATATTTTACAAGTAGTTGAAGTATCATTTTGGCAATTGAAAAATGATTTAAATTACTAAAAGCAAGAATATGTTATGAAATGTTGCTGCTGCCATGGGCATTAGTTATTCTTAAAGCTGACTTTTTGTTAGTTTTTTATAGGAAAGAAATAATAATACCAATTAAAATCTGAACATATATTTACATATATAGCTGTCTTCATTTAGCATAATGGTAAAAAAACAACTCTTTCAAAATTGCAGCTGCCACAGATTTCAATGGAACCAACCGAATTTGAAACGTATTATATACATTTTTGTTTATTTAGTGATAATTGTGGTGTTTTTGAAAGAGGATGAGACATTCATTCATTCATTAACTGCGATCGGGATTATGCTTTGAAATGTTGCTGTGGCCATGGAAATTAGTGTGAAGTTTTATCTGAAAACTAAGTAATTGGTAGAAACATATTTGTTGCTATTACACAATGCTAGTTATTTAATAAAAAGCTTCAACTTGTCCCTAAATTCGATGGAAATAGACATGTTTTTTGCAGAGTATCAGAGTGTTTATGAATGAATGCGAGGAGCGAAATAATTAAATGGCATAGAATACATTTCGCTATAATTTACAGCTGTATTTATAATTTGTTATATAAATAATATAAATGTAGACTCTCAAACGGTTTTCATACAGCTTTGAATTCATATAAAATTCACGCATAACAACTTATCATAGGTATTTCGACAAAAGCCGCAGCTGCTTAACAGGAGCGAAGTTATCACTTATTCTCAGATTATTTGATGATCTAGAAAATCTGAGAAAACCGCTGTTCAAATCTGTTTATTTTTAATGCACGAGACCAGTAAATTTTACTTTTATGCGAAATCGTTTCAAATGAAAGCAAAAGCTATCCCACTCTCTTCATCACCCCTTCATTTTCAAGGAGGTTTAGACATTTATATGATATTATGAAAAACTATTAGATTTTTGGCAAATAGTGGATTTTCATAGAAATAATGCTTCTAGCTTAACGTGGCAAGTAAAAAATGCGGATTCTAATTCATCTCTAAACCTTTGCGACACAATTTTTTACAAAGCTCATAAGAAGGGGACGTAATATAGGATGCTCAAGGACTCGATAGTGAATTGGGAACTCGAATGTCAAACGAATTTGAATATGTATATTTTTTCATTTAGGGAGAACAATTATTGGCGGTTTCTGAAGAGCTTGCGATTCGTTGGTGATGTGTTCGTGTTGCCGTTTTTCCTTTCTTCGCTCTTGTCGTGCTAATTTCAATGCAATTATTTTATTTATATAGGCTGAGTGTCCCCATCAACAACAAACACTGGCTTCCACAAACAATTCCAAAGAACGTCAATCGAGGCAATGACCGATTTTCTCGGCACATTAATGACTTGTCTGATATACATACATACTATAGACGTATAAGCGATATCTTTAAATGAAACAAAATTATTTACTTCTTGCGCCATTTCCATTGGCTGGGTTTATGGAAATTGGTATCTCTTTTTCCTTTCTTTTTTAGGGGCATTGTGGGCATTGACGTTATTTGAGGTTTGTGTTAATGAGCTTGTTTGGCGTTACCATGGCCACGACTATGGACGCGGACTCTAGGCGGCGTCGGCTGATTTGCAGTGCTATGGCATTTATATTTGGGGGTGTGGGGTGTGGGTGTGGAAAAATTCCACAACTTGTAATGGGAAATTGAGAATTAAGGGGCGTATGGGCGGCATGGGTTTCAATACAAGAGGAATTTTTGCTAAACCAAAGCTTGACTATCTAAGTATTTAATCTTTGCAGGCACAAGACCAAGGACCATTTTACCAACCACAACAACAGAAACATCGACAATAAAAGTGTGTGAACAACAAAGCAACAAAAACGACGACTACAACAGCAATAGCAACAGCAACAACATCTACAACAACGAGTCATTGCTGCACACACATTTGCCTACACAACGAATTTGTAAAATTCATTACGAGGAAGTTGTGACCATGTAGTTGTCCAACAGTAACTGCAACAAGAACGGGAACAGCAACAGCAAAACAAAAACAACAACAACAACAACAACAAACTCGATGCCCTTAGACAATCAAGCAACAACAAGAACAAGCACAAAGGCAGGCAGCCAACCTAATAACACAAGCTTATATACGTATTAGCCAACAACAATTGAATGTGAGTAAGCAAAGCACATACTATGATGATATATTCTACAATACATTAAGGTTGACAAAAAGGAAAGAAGTTTAAACTTTTGCCATTTAAGCAAACAAGACAATTGTAACTGTGGCAACGAAAGACAGAGATTTAGGAAACTATCCCGTTAGTTTGACTTTGAAATGAAAAAATAATCGTTAAGGCCTCCTCCTCTTTCTATCTCTGGTAACGAAATGATACACAAATAGTGTTGGTTCCCAAGTGAAAGTGATGAAAAAAATGAACAGATGATGAAAGCTGACAGAACTCAGAATCATTTCGATCGTTTTCAAAATGAAAGGTCGAAACATAGTCCTGAATAATAGTATAATAAAATAGTCTTTAAATTATGGTTGCAGAAATATGTTGCTCAAAAGAAGTCCTTTGACAACATACTCTATAATGATCTACTAAATGTACATTTAAGTATGTTTATAAGAGTTTTACCTCCATTTGATGTTGTCAGCGTGCAGACGGGAAACAGCTGAGCCTGTAGGTATTGCACGCGACCGCCGGCACCTCCACCGCCGAACCCATTAAAGTCCATGAGCCTGATAATGTCGCGTGGATGTGTGGGTGTGGTTTATACTTATGTGGTATTATATTAGTTGTTGTTGTTATTGTTGTTGCTGCTGTTTAGCACATGTTATAGCAGCAACAACGTGGACTCTTGAGTATGTATTTTTATTTGGCACACATCAAATGCAACTCGTCGGAATCAAAACAACAAATGCCGCTTAGCACCGCTCAAGACCACTTATGTAACCGCACCGCCTATTAAACTAACAAATTGATTGATTGACTATGCACTAATATTAATTTTTAAATCGTACTACTTGTCCAACTAATTTGCAAAGCTGCTGCTGCTGCTGCTTCTGCTGTTGTCTGTGCTGCGGCAGCATTTTTGCGGCAGTACGTCGTGTTCTCTAAATTCAAACTGAGTGTCTAGGCTTAGTCAAGTCGTCGCACTCGAATAGCTCAACAGAAAATTCCGACCAGGCCCGGACGACCGAACAACCGACCGCGCAACTGTTATAAACAAATAAACAAAACTCAAATCAACTCAGCTGAACTGAACTGAACTGAACTAAACGTGAGTGTCGGTGTCGTCGTTTTTGTCTCTAATGCTCAGAGACAAGGTGCAAGGTAGGCATTGTGGCAGCTAGGAAGTTAGACAGCAGTTGGCCCAGCCCGGCCCGGCTCGGCCTGCTTGCCTACATATCCTTCTTGGCATTATACTATGTACATATGTATATCCCTGTCGGGCCACGCCATGCGCTTGCACACTCACATCGCCATGTTATGGTAAACATTTCTCAAAAAAGCACCAACAATAACAAAAAACAAAAATCAAATCAAACAAAGCCAAAGCCAGAGGCAACCAGCCTTGGAAACGGCGTCGGTTCGACTTTGCCGAATTTAACAACGCGAATATGCATGAGACAGCTGTGGAGGACCCTAGAAGTAAGGCGGTGTGAAAAGGGGCGGGCTATGCAGTGTCTAGCTAATATAATTGGACCATTGACAACAGACCAAATAACTGCGAGGAATGAAATGCCACTGAATCATCGGTGAACCAAGTCTTTGGGGAAGCTGCATAAATTGTTAAAAACTAAACCTTTATTCGTTCATACGAGCCAGCAAATTCAAATTGAAAATAGACAACAATATGGTCTCTGTTTGTGCCCAAATATAGGCTCTATTTATCGAATTGAATTGTCAGCTGCTCTTTACAGTTATTTCAAGTTTAGTGCTCCCTCTGAAACAAAATGCGTGCATTCAATTAATTTTTGAAAAGGTGGCAACGCTTACAGTTAATTATTAGCGTGTTGGCTTTAGGAGAAGCACGAGGAGAGAGTCTACATTTTTCAATTCGACATTTCCGAAACTTTTTGACTTCTGTAAATGTTTAGCTGCTGAGCTGCCTTCTATTTTAAATAATGAAAAGTATGCCAGTTTTAATCACTTAAGTTGAAGTGTTGCTTAATATTGTTCTAGAAAAATGAGGCTTTATTTAATTAAGTTAGTGCCTTTGACATGTACTATATTGTTTTTTTCTCCTTTTTCACGCCTTTAAAGTCTGGCATCGCCACATACCAATCTAAAAACCTGAATAATCAAAGTAGGAATGTAAAAAACATCGATGTATCGAGCATCGACGATGTTTTTACCACAATGCATCGATGGTTTTTTGCATCGTCGACCCATTACATTATTCGAAGAAGGTATATTTGTATTATAAATTATTTGATGTTTTCATTAAAATGTGTATTCTATAATATACATTTTAGATTTTCGTATATAATGTCACACTTAATATGCCTAAAAGGAGTAGCTGCAACGCGTCGTTGTTTTAAAAACTGTATATAATCAGTTTTTTTTAAGTAAGCCATACAAGTTCATCAAAAATCAATATTACGAGTGCTTTTTTGATTAACAATATTAAGTAAAATACTATGACAAGCATCTCTGTTGATTTGCTCCCTTATAATAGCTATTTTTCTATGGGAAGTTAATTTTTAAAACATCGATGCATCGATTTTTTATAAAGAGACATCGATGTTTTCCCCTCGACTTACATCGCTAAATCAAAGTTCATGTGTAATTTAAATGTAAGAATGCTGAATTGGGTCGAAAAGATTTTGTGCGAACAGTAACTCGCATACACCTTTAACTCCAAACATTCCTATAAACTTTATGCAACATATAGTATTATCTTAGCTGAGACAACATTTTCTGTCAAATGACATATGAATGTTTTTAGAATAATCCAATATAGATATATGTATGTATAACCGCCTACATATCTTTTCAGAAGTTGCTCTCATACCCCAGAAAAATCAATGCATGCATTAAATTCAAATCAATTTTGTGTGTGAGAACTTGAGCCTAAAAAATGGATGCCATAAAAATGGTGTTGGTGCATTTGTTTTGGGGCTGTTGTCATTTAATTTTCTTCGAAATTGTAATTGAATTCTCTTGGCAAGCGTTCATTTGTCAAAGTCGTGTTTTTGTCCACGGCGATGTGATGTCGACGCTGAAGTCGACGCCAACGCTCGCGCCCACGACTGCTCCCCAGCTGTCGAGGCGCTGAAACACAAAAGGAACAGGTGTCAAAATTCAGCAGCCGCAGCCAACCATGCGCAGCGTTATGTCACACACAAGATACACACACACACACACACATTTGTGGTACATAGCAATGATCTTGATCACAGAATTTATATGTTTTCTATTTTTTGGCAAGCCGCAATGACTGTCAAGGTGAAAGCGGCCCACAGCCCCACTAGGCGACTAAGAAGAATCGGCCGAATAGGCAACTCGGCCAATTCGACAATCATCGCTCATACGCCCCGTGAGCGATTAGTTTGGCGGCAAAATAAATACATAGTGTGTGTGCAAAACATGTGAACCACAAAAAAAGAAAAATTAAATAAAATACAACCCAAAAACCATTCAATTTTGAAATATTCAACAAAAATACAAGATTAACAAAAATATTTGCAACATTTCCAACAGACCGAACTGCAATTAAAAATTGTTGTTCGCCATAATTTTTTTTGATTTGTTATTATATCTTCATATGCGTTGAAATGCCAAAAAAATACATCGCTACATTATTGTAACGTGTTTTCGGGCATTTTGCGAGCAGCGCCTTTAAGCCACCATCACGTGTACATGATAATAAATGGAAAGTGGCTGTACTGCCAAGCCATTTGTCACATCACATCCTCGGAGCATTTCATCAGCGATAACGACAAGCAAGTAAAGAGCAATTTCCAAAGGGTGGGCTACTGCCAAGGGGTCGGAAAGAACGGTAGACAAAGAATTGAAATACACATTGAATCGTCCATTTCACATTTTTCAAAGTCGAATTTAATCTTGTCTGTAAGAAAATTTCAAATGGTTTGCTGGCAGTGCATAAGAATGGACTTTAATATGCAATCCTTAGGGGTTAAAGGAATTTATCAAACTGTTTATATTGAAATACATACTATTTCGATAAGAACAGTTATGTTCAAAACAATATTGAGAAAACTTTACTTTCGCTTTTTTAAATGTGTATGCTCGTTAAGATGTCATTGGACTTGTGCCTTATAGCATTTACAAATTAAAGCACATGCGAGTAGCTTTCTAAAGAAGGTACGGTCCAAAAACAAATAAATAACTCTTATCTTATTCCATATTTTAAAGTCAAAAGCATTATCCCTCGATGGCAATATAATACCGATAACGATGGCTTAAATACTCGCTGGCACAAATGCATTTATTAATTAACGGCTAGTTGCTTTTATAAAACAGAAGAGCTTGTCCAAACTTAATATCTTTCAATAGACTTTTTTTAAAGATGGGCATGGGTTGGCATAAATAGTGTGATTAGTGATGGTTAATAAAGAAAAACGACTAAAGAAAACTTAAGAAGTTGATTAAAAGCTAAACAAATGTATTCCACAAAATTTTAAAGGAAACTTGAACTCCGAAATATCTTTTGTTTTGTTTTGAACGCTATTCCAACAGCAGTAGTGAGTACGATTCGTCAAAGTAATTGTGCCGAACAGTTTTTTTTTTAATGTCGTGAGCATTTAATGTAATGGGAATACTTCTTCTGTCATTTCATTTCAGTTTCATGCAAATTATTTAGCTTAAAATATTGTTAGCACACCAAGTGTGTTCTTTTAAAACAATGGGGGGAAATAAATGGGAACATTTTGTGCAAGTGAAATAACTGCAGGACTATTGTTTGTTCTTATTTGTTTGTATTTAATTTAACTTTGATATGCATCCTGTCCTGCCCTGACATGTCCTCTCCATCACTTACCATTCGCAAAGTCGCCCAATACCAGCGAGCATTCCATGTTGTTGTATTTAAAATTCGCGCTGACACTGCTGGAGGAGGAAATGCTACGTTTGCTGACATCCGCATCAGCAACTTTAGCATCGGCTTCGAAGCCACCAACACTTCCATGTCCACCTTCAGC